GCACATTTTCCAAGTGTGTGGAGGCGGCATTGGAACCGTTGCGTCGTCAGGGAATACGGCTACTAGCCTACCTGGACGACCTACTGGTTCTCGCCCCGTCAGCAGAGCTGGCGATCACTCACACAACACAGACAGTGATGCATCTCACAAGTCTGGGGTTTGCTGTGAATTGGAAAAAGAGCGCGCCCTGGCCCACTCATCAGATTGTCTACCTGGGGATACAGCTAGACACTGTGAGGATGAGGGCTCGAATTTCGGACCCCCGAAGGGTAGCCTTGTTGCTAGCCCTGAGGAAGTGTCGTCCGAATCACACGGTGACGGCGCTGTCGATCATGTCACTTTTGGGTCTCATGTCGTCAGCCCACTCTGTGGTTCCGCTGGGACTCCTGCATATGCGCAGGATGCAGCGATGGTTCGCCCAACTAAGACTAGACCCATTGCGTCAACGTCATCGGTTGGTGGTGGTTCCACTCTCGCTCAGGGCAGATCTGAACTATTGGAGAAACCCGCGCGTTCTCACGCACGGAGTCCCGATAGGAAAGGTGTCCTCTCACATCCCAGTATTCACGGATGCGTCCCTGACGGGATGGGGAGGGACATGTCAGACCCAAGCGATAGGAGGTGTGTGGCCTCAATCAGGTCGTCATATCAACCTCTTGGAGTTGGAAACGGTTCGACTGGTTCTGACCCACTTCGCGTCTACCCTTCGGGGTCGCGATGTGCTGGTCTGGTCAGACAACCGGACCACAGTAGCTCACATAAATCGCCAGGGAGGAGTCAGGTCTCCTGCTCTCCATCGGGCGGCAGAGGAATTGTGGCTGTGGGCTCACGAGCACCTTCGCTCATTGAGAGCAGCACACATTCCGGGCTACTTGAACGTAGGAGCAGACCTCATGTCAAGAGGGGGTCCTCGAGACGACGAGTGGTGTCTGCATCCGGACATTGTTCTCCAGATTTGGGAACAATTCGGGAGAGCCGAGGTGGACCTATTCGCGTCACGTGTGAACGCGCAATGTCCTCTGTGGTTCTCTCTGAGGGAACAGGACAGACCGCCACTGGGAAGGGACGCCTTTGCGCACCAACCGTGGCCGAGAGTTCTCCTGTATGCATTCCCTCCGCTGTCCTGCATTCTCCCACTGCTAGCCAGGGTGAGGTCAGGGGGGCTGTCAGTGATACTGATAGCGCCCGATCGCCCAGGGGGCTCCTTGGTTTGCGGAGATGAGTCAGATGTTGATTGCGCCACCTTGGCCAATTCCACATCGACGGGGCGCGTTGTCTCAGGCGGGAGGCACGATAGGGAAATTGCCCATAATCGGCCAACCACTGAAGGCCTGGCTGCTGAGAGGGACAGGCTAGAGCGCCGTGGGTTATCTGATGCAGTGATCAGGACCATACAGGGTTCACGTGCCAGTTCCACTTCTAAGATGTATGCCAGTAGATGGAACGTGTTTTCACGATGGTGTGTCACACAAGGTGTAGACCCCATGAGCTGTCAGGTGAAGAGTATTCTCTCTTTTCTACAGCTCATGTTTGATAAGCAAAAATCGCGTGCCACTATTAAGGTGTTTGCAGCAGCGATTTCAGCTTGTCATGAGGGGTTTGGCAGAGACAATGTCTTTAGCCACCCTCTAGTGAAACGCTTCCTATTAGGAACGCGGCGACTTAGGCCAATACCTAGAGTCACGCTTCCTCAGTGGGATTTGGCTTTGGTACTCGAAGCGCTATGTAAGTCGCCGTTCGAGCCATTGAATCAAATACCCCTCAAGATGCTGTCTATTAAGAACAGCTAAGCGGGTTAGTGATTTGTGTGCTCTTTCGACGAGACCTGACTGCCTGGCCATCAATGGTGACCTGAGCAGAGCAGTGTTACGTCCTAACCCGGCATTTGTGCCGAAGGTTATTAAGAGTTCATATAGGTCACAGACCGTGGAGCTGTGGGCTTTTTCTCCTCCTCCTCATAGAGAGAGGAGTGAGGAAAAGCTCCATCGCCTGTGCCCGGTACGCGCTTTGGCGTATTACGTTGAGCGCACAGCAGCGATCAGGTCATCGCCTCAGTTGTTTGTGTGTCACGGTGCGGCTGCACTAGGTAGACCACTTTCAAAACAGCGGTTGTCTCACTGGCTTTGTGAAGGCATTGAGACAGCTTATGAGGCAGCAGGGCGGCAATTGCCTCAGGGTATCAGAGCTCACTCCACTCGTGGAGTAGCGGCTTCTACTTCCCTTTTCAGAGGAACAGGGGTAGAGGATATCTGTAGAGCAGCATCCTGGTCGACGCCGTCTCCATTTATCTGTTTCTATCTCTTAGATATGTCTTCTAACTCTCTGGCTCGATCTGTACTCAGCGTGGCTGAAGGGAGATCTTGAGCAAGATAGAGATGAGAAGCAGGACTGTGGACACAGGTTTCCATCAGGTCCGCTTTGGTTAGGAAGACGTGTTTTTTGATAGATGTGTTTTCTAACTCTTTGGCTCGGTCTGTACTCAGCATAGCTGAAGGGAGATCTTGAGCTAGGAAGAGAGGGAAAAGCAGGACTATGGACAAGGTTTCCATCAGGTCCGCTTTGGATAAGAAAACATATTTTGTGGCATGAATCCTGACTGACAGGTTCAGTACAGTAGAGGCATGCGTTGATTGACAGAATGTGAGGTCATCTATCTGCTTGTTCAGTTTAGTATGACTCATGTTTTGTTCCTGCCCACTAATCTCTGGGATTCCATTGAGTGAGTGAGGCGGTCTACCGCGTTTACAATGTAGAGTGACACTTGGTGTCATTCCATTAGTGGTTGGTAGTGTTTTCACAGGATATTGAGGCACATCTATCTGCTAGTACAGATTAGTATGGCTTCTATTCTGGTGATCTGCCCACTAGTCATTGGCATTGCCATTGGACTAGGTGGGGCGGGTCTTTAACCGATGACGCGGTATATTGTGACGCCCGTAGGGGTTTTTAGTTGCAGTACTGCGGGACTCGGTTGCAGCCATTGCTAGGCCTGACCTTCTCGTTTCGATGGGAAGTGTTAGGCTCGGCAGGGAGTACATTTTGGAGCGCTACGCTCCGCCTTAAACCACTAGGAGCAGAGCTCCCCTATGGGGCGGAGCTCCACGATATAGAACGATTAGTTACCGGAGTGTAACTCCAGTTCTATGAGCGGAGCGGAGCCCCATAGGACTTAAGGCCCTGCCGACCCTTTCTAGTCTCGCTGAAGAAAAATATCTCGGGAGGCATCCCCTCTTATAGGGACACCTGTACTCCTATTGGCTGTAGGTGTGTGCATAATTTTGTCTCAGGCTGTTGCTGCCTTAGGGCAGAGGGTAAACCACTAGGAGCAGAGCTCCCCTATGGGGCTCCGCTCCACTCATAGAACTGGAGTTACACTCCGGTAACTAATCGTTTTTAGTTGATCGTTCGCCAATAGGGGTTCCTGCTTGCTCTGGGCATAACTTACTCAAATGAACGAAATGAGTCGAACGATTTGTTCATTTGACTAAACATGTGTTGTTTTGTGTTGTAATAGGCAGCTCTACATTCCTAGTAGTCCTAATCATAGAATAAGTAACCCAATGGGCACAGGCGTGAATTCAACGTCTATTCTACGTTGGTTCAACGTCATTTCATTGAAATTACGTGGAAACAATGTTGATTCAACCAGTGTGTGCCCAGTGGGAACATATCATATGTGCTGTGGTTCACTGAATGTGAACATCCATGAGCTCTGATCAGAAATATTGTTGAAAAACAACATATAAACTGAATGAGAGCGGTAAGATAAGATGCTGATCTATTCACTGCGAGTGAAAACATTTAAGAGAGCAGGGTTTCCCAAACTCTGTCCTGGGGCCGCCCCTGGGTGCACCTTTTGATTTTTGCCCTAGCACTACTCAGCTGATTCAAATAAGTTTGGGAAACCCTGTCCTAGAGGGTTGTCTCTCTCCCTCCCTGTCTCACACACACACACAGAGAGAAAAAATGCAAAATTCCAGCCATACAACTACCTTAACCAACAGAGGCAATTGTCTATATTCATTGAAATGTCTGTTTATTTTACAACCTATTTTGACTGAATAGCACTCATTTCTGCAATACAGAAGAAGAAAAAACACCATACATTTCCATACTGTAGACCGGAGGAGGGTAGTGATGATAGTATATTATATGAGTTATTGAGATTGTTTGGCTTGTGTGTGTGTATTCTGTCTACGGGGTTCATGGCTAGAAAGGATTCAGCTTTTGTCAAATTAACATCAAAAGTAGATTTCCCCCCCCTTAATTTTAACTAACCCTAACCCTTTTCCTAACCTTAACCTAATTCTCCTAACCTGCTGCATAAATTGTAACTTGCAACGAAAAGTCCAATCTGACAAAAGCTGGATCCCATCTAGCCCTGACCTGTCTGGGGGGGGGAGTATTATATCTAACAGACATGGGAGCGGGCTTTATATCTAACAGACATGGGAGTCCATGGCATAATGTCTCCCATTGCAAAGCAGAAAACACCACAACAGACTCAGAAAGCTGCTGCACTTTATCACTCAACTTTAATGCAGTTGGATTCGATGTTTCAATGTGGTCTATAAAAACAATTTAATTACAGAAAAATTCATAAAATGTGTAATTCCCTGCTCAAATGTTTCTAGGCAGAGTTAGCTAGTATGTTTGAGAGAGTTCCCATACACTGCTAAGCAATGGGTTTTAAGTGTCTATCTTTGACACATGGGTTCACTTCTGTGGTAAAGACACAATGAAAAACACAAGGGCTAGGATTTTAACATGTAAGATTACAAGAAAGGGCGCAAAAAAATACACAGGACAGTGCGAAAGAGTCTGGTAGTATAATCAACACTGTTCTCTATGAGGAGGCTGCAAAAAACATATTTTAATGCACATCCAAGCTTTCCGAGAGGAAAAATACAATCACTCAAATATTTTAAGCTTTGACCTGTGTAGTATTATTATTACTCGGTGGTGGTGGGATGTTGTTACAAAGAGGTACAGCACACACATATATATATATATATATATATAGACAAGTCAATTTGCCTTGTATTAACCAGCAAGTGTATTCTATTCTTTGTGTTTTTGAGAATCTACAACAAAATTAACAAAACACATGGTATGATGTGTGTGGATAGAGCAGAAAGGACAAAGCAGCCACTTGATCACACAATCACTAAAGCAGATAGCTTGTGCAGCATACAACAGATACAGTGCTAGACTAGTGCAACTCAGAGACAAGGTGAGTGACTACAGAACGGACTGACAGAGACTTCAAGCCTCACCAATCAGTTTGAACAGCTGTGATAACAGGAGGAGCTGCAGTTGGCAGTGTGTTAGGTTACCGTTCTGCTCAAAGTAGAGCATGTTGGTTTGTATGTGTGACACTCAACGGTAAGCTTCCCTTTGTATAAAGTATCTGTGAGCCAACATTCATGCCTGACTGACAGTTACTTATCGGTCTACCACAGCAGCTCACAGTACCATAAACAACTGTACAGTAGTACCCGTTTTGTGTGTATGCACTCCTGCTATCTGTACTGCAAGGTTTGACATGTGTTTCTTACATATGAAAAGTTATGTGGTTCGTGTTTGACTTGTCTATACAGTGCGGGGCAGTGGATGTCACATGCAGCGGTTGATGATTGTACTGGACCGGAATCATCATATTGGAGGGGTGTGGCTTTTATTCTTTACAACGGCTCAAAACTCTTTAAATGGCTTCCTCTCCTCTGCTCCTTTCCCTGATCACTGATTGGTTAAACGGAGTGGATAGAGTCATCATTAATTTACTTTCACCTTACAGATCAGTGGTAACAAACATAAGGAGCGGGAGGAAGCCATTCAAGACTATTGAGACATCCCATATCTTTAAAACACAGCAAACCTGCCCCCTCTCTGCCTGACCCATGTCCCCTTTCCTCTCAACCCCTCCCCCTGTATCCGTAGCTCTTCTTCCCTCTCTTTCTCAAGTTACTGGAGCTCCTTCATCCTGTTGAGGGCCGAGCCGGCCTGAAACCATTCGATCTGTGTCTCGTTGAAGGTGTGGTTCAGCTGGAACTCATCTTTGGTGCCGTCACTGTGCTTCACTACCGTAGACAGGGGCTGGAGGGACAGGGATTCACCGTTAGATATACATACATGGTGGATTAGTGAAAAACTATATGAACCTTAGCTATCTGGAAACTAAGTCCCAGCCCCTACACTGGAGGTGGGCGATTCTGATCCTGGACAGTCTTTCATTTAGACCATGATTAGTTAAATACGGTTTGTTCATGATGAGCTGGAACAAAAACCTACAGATTGGTTTAAGTGCCACTCACCTTTCCTGGGGCGAAGGTTGCAAGTCCTTTGATGGAGATCTTGTCGTCTGGGCGGATCTTGTCGTAGTCAGCAGGGTTCTGGAAGGTCAGGGGCAGCATTCCCTGTTTCTTCAGATTCGTCTCTGCAGTGAGGAGCAAAGAAAAAAGGTTAGTTGGGTGGATGTTGAAAATGAAGTTGGTGAGGGAAGCAACGCATGCGCATACACAATCTGTCACTTTTGGCCTGTACATAAGTTACCGTGGATCCTGGCGAAGCTCTTGACAATGATGCATCTTCCTCCCAGGTGTCTGGGCTCCAGGGCCGCATGCTCTCTGCTGGATCCCTCACCGTAGTTGTCATCTCCCACAACCACCCACGACAGACCGTTGGCCTGGGACAGAGGAGGAAGGTGAGGAGAGTAAAAGGAAACTTAAAATCCCTAATCAATTGCAGTTTCTTACACTGATGGCCAAATGCTTAAATCGATATCAAGCACTCTTAGAAAAATCTATAAAAAGGGCTGAATCTTAACTAGAGACACAAACAACAGACTTTCAAAGGGAAATTTGAGCAAAAAGTACCCTGGTTGATCTCAAGTGAGGATGTGGTTTGAGATAGGGGTCAAGGGTCATTTTCATCATCTGGGGCGCTTACCTTGTAATGGCGGGCGACATCAGGCACACCGCCGTACTCTCCCGTCAGCTGGTTCTTGATCTTGTTGACGCCGTCGTTCTCGATGTTGACTGCTCCAATTAGCATGTTGTTGGAGATGTTGTCAAGGTGACCACGGAACTTGAGCCAGGGACCAGCGGCGCTGATGTGGTCTGTGGTGCATTTCCCCTTTACCTGGAGAGAGAGCGCAAATTGTGGAATGGGAAAAGGAGAAGAGTAAGGTTGACTGGAAATGATCCTTCAATGAGTCTTCAGTTACAAAATACATTTATATCTGAACGTTCTGTAACGTTGCACCCTCCTGAACCGACCCCAGTTTGTCCTTTGACCCCTGACCTTGATGAGGACTTGCAGGTCCTCCAGGTCACCTCCGGCCCACTTGTCGAAGGGCTCCAGCAGCTGCAGCCGGGTGCTGGTGGGGCTGACGTCCACCCTCAGCTTGGAGCCACCCTCGGCAGGGGGGTGCTGGTAGGTGTCCTGACCGGGGTCAAAATCCAACTTGGGAAGCTCGTCTGCACTGGGGGGCTCCAGCTTGAACTTCTCTCCGTTGGCGGCAGTGAGGTAATCAACCTCAGGGTTGAAATCCAGGGTTCCTGCAATGGCCAGGGCTGTGACGATCTGGAGGAGGAGAGGACAAGGGAGAGAGGTGTGTGTGTGTACCAGTGTGCAAGTGTATAATATTTCTATGCGAGTGAGAAAAGAGAGAAAGAGTCAGCAAAGCTGGGTGTATTCAGCGTCCTAACAGTACCTCAGGGGAGGCGACAAAGGCGTGTGTGGCTGGGTTGGCGTCGTTCCTGGCGGTGAAGTTCCTGTTGTAAGATGTGACGATGGTGTTCTTCTCTCCCTTCTTCACATCACGCCTGAACAGAAACATCAACTTAACACTTTGTCCCAAATGGCACCCTATTCCCTATATAGTGCACTACTTTTGACCAAAGCCCTATGGGCCATGGTCAAAAGCAGTGCACTACATAGGGAATAGGATGCCATTTGATACACAGACAGTATCTTCAGGACATTTTGAATAGGAGATTTAAGCCCAAATGAATAACAGAATGAACATGAATAGGGCTGTGGCAGTCATGAAATGTGTCAGCTGGTTGTCATGCAAAAGACTGCCCGTCTCACGGTAATTGACGTTAATTAACATAAACACGTTTAGCATCGCCAGGCCTCCACACATAAAAGCTGCTGATGCGCGCCTTTGGAACATGTACATACAAAATTAAATAATAATAATAATAATCTTGGTCGACCGAGAGTAGTCTGTTCTTTTGACCAATCAATTGGTAAAAAATTTAAAAGGTGTAATTTTCATAGACACATCCTATGTGTTTTAATCAAATCAGCTATATGCACTGAGCTTGTCTGATGCTTTAAGTGCACTGTTTGATGAAATAATTAAAAAGACACACGACTAGAGCTATTCCGACCGCAGTTGATTTGATTATGCTGGGCAGGCTCAGACTTGCTGCGCTGTGTCTAGCACCTGTTGTCTCTCCCCCTTGCTGCAGCGACCACCACAAAACATCAACAGTGTTTATTACGCTGTCCATGTAGCTGAACCAGCAAAATAATTACAGCCATTTCTGACTGAAAAGTTGTTACCGAAATCCCTCACTTGTTTAGGAAAAAAACATTCCCTACTCCCTCAACCCTTGCTCTCTTTACGTGACACATGTACAGTGAGGGAAAAAAGTATTTGATCCCCTGCTGATTTTGTACGTTTGCCCACTGACAAAGAAATGGTCAGTCTATAATTTTAATGGTAGGTTTATTTGAACAGTGAGAGACAGAATAACAACAACAAAATCCAGAAAAACGCATGTCAAAAATGTTATAAATTGATTTGCATTTTAATGAGGGAAATAAGTATTTGACCCCCTCTCAATCAGAAAGATTTCTGGCTCCCAGGTGTCTTTTATACAGGTAACGAGCTGAGATTAGGAGCACACTCTTAAAGGGAGTGCTCCTAATCTCAGTTTGTTACCTGTATAAAAGACACCTGTCCACAGAAGCAATCAATCAGATTCCAAACTCTCCACCATGGCCAAGACCAAAGAGCTCTCCAAGGATGTCAGGGACAAGATTGTAGACCTACACAAGGCTGGAATGGGATACAAGGCCATTGTCAAGCAGCTTGGTGAGAAGGTGACAACAGTTGGTGCGATTATTCGCAAATGGAATAAACACAAAATAACTGTTAATCTCCCTCGGCCTGCGGCTCCATGCAAGATCTCACCTCGTGGAGTTGCAATGATCATGAGAACGGTGAGGAATCAGCCCAGAACTACACGGGAGGATCTTGTCAATGATCTCAAGGCAGCTGGGACCATAGTCACCAAGAAAACAATTGGTAACATACTACGCCGTGAAGGACTTCAATCCTGCAGCGCCCGCAAGGTCCCCCTGCTCAAGAAAGCACATATACAGGCCCGTCTGAAGTTTGCCAATGAACATCTGAATGATTCAGAGGAGAACTGGGTGAAAGTGTTGTGGTCAGATGAGACCAAAATCAAGGTCTTTGGCATCAACTCATCTCGCCGTGTTTGGAGGAGAAGGAATGCTGCCTATGACCCCAAGAACACCATCCCCACCGTCAAACATGGAGGTGGAAACATTATGCTTTGGGGGTGTTTTTCTGCTAAGGGGACAGGACAACTTCACCGCATCAAAGGGACAATGGACAGGGCCATGTACTGTCAAATCTTGGGTGAGAACCTCCTTCCCTCAGCCAGGGCATTGAAAATGGGTCGTGGATGGGTATTCCAGCATGACAATGACCCAAAACACACGGCCAAGGCAACAAAGGAGTGGCTCAAGAAGAAGCACATTAAGGTCCTGGAGTGGCCTAGTCAGTCTCCAGAACTTAATCCCATAGAAAATCTGTGGAGGGAGCTGAAGGTTCGAGTTGCCAAAAGTCAGCCTCGAAACCTTAATGACTTGGAGAAGATCTGCAAAGAGGAGTGGGACAAAATCCCTCCTGAGATGTGTGCAAACCTGGTGGCCAACTACAAGAAACGTCTGACCTCTGTGATTGCCAACAAGGGTTTTGCCACCAAGTACTAAGTCATGTTTTGCAGAGGGGTCAAACACTTTTCCCCTCATTAAAATGCAAATCAATTTATAACATTTTTGACATGCGTTTTTCTGGATTTTTTTGTTGTTATTCTGTCTCTCACTGTTCAAATAAACCTACCATTAAAATTATAGACTGACCATTTCTTTGTCAGTGGGCAAACGTACAAAATCAGCAGGGGATCAAATTCTTTTCCCCCTCACTTTATGTACATACACACACATATATACACACAGTTGAAGTCAGATGTTTACATACACTTAGGTTGGAGTCATTAAAACTTGTTTTTCAACCACTCCACAAATTTCTTGTTAACAAACTATAGTTTTGGCAAGTTGGTTAAGACATCTACTTTGTGCATGACACAAGTAACCTTTCCAACAATTGTTTACAGACAGATTATTTCACTGTATCACAATTCCAGTGGGTCAGAAGTTTACATACAGTGGGGAAAAAAAGTATTTAGTCAGCCACCAATTGTGCAAGTTCTCCCACTTAAAAAGATGAGAGGCCCGTGGGGTCAAAATGATCACAAGAACGGTGAGCAAAAATCCCAGAACCACACTGGGGGACCTAGTGAATGACCTGCAGAGAGCTGGGACCAAAGTAACAAAGCCTACCATCAGTAACACACTACGCCGCCAGGGACTCAAATCCTGCAGTGCAAGACGTGTCCCCCTGCTTAAGCCAGTACATGTCCAGGCCCGTCTGAAGTTTGCTAGAGTGCATTTGGATGATCCAGAAGAGGATTGGGAGAATGTCATTTGGTCAGATGAAACCAAAATATAACTTTTTGGTAAAAACTCAACTCGTCGTGTTTGGAGGACAGAGAATGCTGAGTTGCATCCAAAGAACACCATACCTACTGTGAAGCATGGGGGTGGAAACATCATGCTTTGGGGCTGTTTTTCTTCAAAGGGACCAGGACGACTGATCCGTGTAAAGGAAAGAATGAATGGGGCCATGTATCGTGAAATTTTGAGTGAAAACCTCCTTCCATCAGCAAGGGCATTGAAGATTAAACGTGGCTGGGTCTTTCAGCATGACAATGATCCCAAACACAACCGCCCGGCAACGAAGGAGTGGCTTCGTAGAAGCATTTCAAGGTCCCCTGGAGTGGCCTAGCCAATCTCCAGATCTCAACCCCATTGAAAATCTTTGGAGGAAGTTGAAAGTCTGTGTTGCCCACGACAGCCCCAAAACATCACTGCTCTAAGAGATATCGCATGGAGGAATGGGCCAAATTACCAGCAACATGTGTGAAAAACCTTGTGAAGACTTACAGAAACGTTTGACCTGTGTCATTGCCAACAAAGGGTATAACAAAGTATTGAGAAACTTTGTTATTGACCAAATAACTTATTTTCCACCATAATTTGCAAATAAATTCATTAACAATCCTACAATGTATTTTCTGGAAAAAATTCTCACTGTCGTCTGTCATAGTTGACGTGTACCTATGATGAAAATTACAGGCCTCTCTCATCTTTTTAAGTGGGAGAACTTGCACAATTGGTGGCTGACTAAATACTTTTTTTCCCCACTGTACACTAAGTTGACTGTGCCTTTAAACAGCTTGGAAAATTCCAGAAAATTATGTCATGGCTTTAGAAGCTTCTGATAGGCTAATTGACATCATTTGAGTCAATTGGAGGTGTACACCTGTGGATGTATTTCAAGGCCTACCTTCAAACTCAGTGCCTCTTTGCTTGACATCATGGGAAAATCAAAAGATATGAGCCAAGACTTCAGAAAAAAATGTGTACACCTCAACAAGTCTGGTTCATCCTTGGAAGCAATATCCAAACGCCTGAAGGTACCACGTTCATCTGTACAAACAATAGTACGCAAGAATAAACGCCATGGGACCACGCAGCTGTCACACCGCTCAGGAAGGAGACGCGTTGTCTCCTAGAGATGAACGTACTTTGGTGCGAAAAGTGCAAATCAATCCCAGAACAACAGCGTCTATATCCACAGTAAAACGAGTCCTATGCGCTATTGCTCCAAAACCACCATAAAAAAGCCAGACTACAGTTTGCAACTGCACATGGGAACAAAGATCATACTTTTTGGAGAAATGTCCTCTGGTCTGATGAAACAAAAATAGAACTGTTTGGCCATAATGACCATGGTTATGTTTGGAGGAAAAAGGGGAACGCTTGCAAGCCGAAGAACACCATCCCAACGGTGAAGCACGGGGGTGGCAGCATCATGCTGTGGGGGTGCTTTGCTGCAGGAGGGACTGGTGCACTTCACAAAATAGATGGCATCATGAGGAAGGAAAATTATGTGGATATATTGAAGCAACATCTCAAGACATCAGTCAGGAAGTTAAAGCTTGGTCGCAAATGGGTCTTCCAAATGGACAATGACCCCAAGCACACTCCCAAAGTTGTGGCAAAATGGCTTAAGGACAACAAAGTCAAGGTATTGGAGTGGCCATCACAAAGCCCTAACCTCAATCCTATAGAACATTTTGGGCAGAACTGAAAAAGCGTGTGCGAGCAAGGAGGCCTACAAACCTGACTGAGTTACACCAGCTTTGTCAGGAGGAATGGGCCAAAATTCACCCAACTTATTGTGGGAAGCTTGTGGAAGGCTACCCGAAACATTTGACCCAAAGTTAAACAATTTAAAGGCAATGCTACCAAATACTTATTGAGTGCATGTAAACTTCTGACCCACTGGGAATGTGATGAAAGAAATAAAAGCTTAAATAAAATCACTCTACTATTATTCTGACATTTCACATTCTTAAAATAAAGTGGTGATACTAACTGACCTAAGACGGGGAATTTGTACTAGGATTAAAATGTCAGGAATTGTGAAAAACTGAGTTTAAATGTATTTGGCTAAGGTGTATGTACACTTCCGACTTCAATTGTATGTTTTTCTGCCAAGTATATTATGCGGTAGGCTATGTATTGTATAAAGATACAATCATTATTTTAATTCAGGTTTTTTATTTTTGGGGGTCTTGGGCTCATATATAGGCCTATGCTTATGCATAAGCTCTAATATGCATATGGCTGTTTTGAATTAATCATCACCTTAGAAAACACTGTCCATTTCATTGGGTTAGCCTTTGAAACATACACAACGACCGTGTTTTCCACTCAGTTTCAACCTGTTGAACTTCAAATTGATCAATCACAGTGAGGTGAGTTTTAAAAGTGTTTGATGTGATTTTCGATTTAATTTGCATTGATGTCAGAGTGGTTAGAGGGACAGTAGAGCCCTGAGTGCCAGGCCATTAGCAACCTGATGATAGTTAATGAGTTGGCTACTACTAACACATGTACAGACTGCATAAAAGGAGATTACAGTGACTCAGCGGTCACATTGAATTTTAATGCAGTCATGACTCATGATTGCTGGTAATACAGTCCCCCCAAAAGCCCTTAACATGAATGAGTATGTCAACTCAGTATTACCTGTCCCACTGTCCAATGCAGGGTCCACAGGCATTGGCCAGGACCATTCCACCAACGTCACCGAGGATCTTGGACTACAGAACAACATACAGCTTCAGTTAGGAGCAGCTAGTAGTAGTAGTTCCTGCTGAAGATATCAACATCCAGAGTTTAAATTCCAAATTGGCTACTTATGATGCCCTTAAAATAGAGCGCAGAGCCAATGTTAACATCCTTGATTCTTAGGAGGATGTCAACAATATTCTACAACAGTTATCCTGTTGCCCTGATTTGTTAGGGGTAAGACATGCCTATCCTAGACATCTGCCCGTGCCCAGGGACTCACATATCCATCTCGCTCGATTGTGGCGCGGATCTGTTCAGACCCGGGGGTGATGGTGAATGCAGCCTTGCACTTCAGCCCTTTGTCCAGGGCCTGTTTGGCCACAGAGGCAGAGCGGCCCATGTCCTCATAACTGGAGTTGGTGCAGCTGCCAATCAGACCTGAGGGGAGGGGACAGAGAGCTTAACGAGCCACCTGCTGTATGTCTTTCTCAATAGAAAATCTATAGTTCAGTATATAAGGCTAAAGCCAGATATGTATAGTTTATAGATATTCATAATATACACTGCTCAAAAAAATAAAGGGAACACTTAAACAACACAATGTAACTCCAAGTCAATCACACTTCTGTGAAATCAAACTGTCCACTTAGGAAGCAACACTGATTGACAATAAATTTCACATGCTGTTGTGCAAATGGAATAGACAACAGGTGGAAATGATAGGCAATTAGCAAGACACCCCCAATAAAGGACTGGTTTTGCAGGTGGTGACCACAGACCACTTCTCAGTTCCTATGCTTCCTGGCTGATGTTTTAGTCACTTTTGAATGCTGGCGGTGCTTTCACTCTAGTGGTAGCATGAGACGGAGTCTACAACCCACACAAGTGGCTCAGGTAGTGCAGCTCATCCAGGATGGCACATCAATGCGAGCTGTGGCAAGAAGGTTTGCTGTGTCTGTCAGCGTAGTGTCCAGAGCATGGAGGCGCTACCAGGAGACAGGCCAGTACATCAGGAGACGTGGAGGAGGCCGTAGGAGGGCAACAACCCAGCAGCAGGACTGCTAGCCCCGCCTTTGTGCAAGGAGGAGCAGGAGGAGCACTGCCAGAGCCCTGCAAAATGACCTCCAGCAGGCCACAAATGTGCATGTGTCTGCTCAAACGGTCAGAAACAGACTCCATGAGGGTGGTATGAGGGCCCGACGTCCACAGGTGGGGGTTGTGCTTAGAGCCCAACACCGTGCAGGACGTTTGGCATTTGCCAGAGAACACCAAGATTGGCCAAATTCGCCACTGGCGCCCTGTGCTCTTCACAGATGAAAGCAGGTTCACACTGAGCACATGTGACAGAGTCTGGAGACGCTGTGGAGAACGTTCTGCTGCCTGCAACATCCTCCAGCATGACCGGTTTGGCGGTGGGTCAGTCATGGTGTGGGGTGGCATTTCTTTGGGGGGCCGCACAGCCCTCCATGTGCTCGCCAGAGGTAGCCTGACTGCCATTAGGTACCGAGATGAGATCCTCAGACCCCTTGTGAGACCATATGCTGGTGCGGTTGGCCCTGGGTTCCAAGACAATGCTAGACCTCATGTGGCTGGAGTGTGTCAGCAGTTCCTGCAAGAGGAAGGCATTGACGCTATGGACTGGCCCGCCCGTTCCCCAGACCTGAATCCAATTGAGCACATCTGGGACATCATGTCTCGCTCCATCCACTAACGCCACGTTGCACCACAGACTGTCCAGGAGTTGGCGGATGCTTTAGTCCAGGTCTGGGAGGAGATCCTTCAGGAGACCATCCGCCACCTCATCAGGAGCATGCCCAGGCGTTGTAGGGAGGTCATACAGGCACGTGGAGGCCATACACACTACTGAGCCTCATTTTGACTTGTTTTAAGGACATTACATCAAAGTTGGATCAGCCTGTAGTGTGGTTTTCCACTTTAATTTTGAGGGTGAAATCCAGACCTCCATGGGTTGATACATTTGATTTCCATTGATCATTTTTGTGTGATTTTGTTGTCAGCACATTCAACTATGTAAAGAAAAAAGTATTTAATAAGATTATTTCATTCATTCAGATATAGGATGTGTTATTTTAGTGTTCCCTTAAATAGCTATTTAAGGTCTAAACAGAGAGATGGCTGTGATGGCCAGCTGTGATGTCAAAAGGATCTGAAGGCTGCACTGACCCACTTTGACCTCCAGGGGCCAGCCATTTTTCACTGCAGTGGCCCCGATGTCTGCCATGGAGTGGGCCAGGTCGGGGGTGAAGGGCCCGTTGATGTGGGGCTTCAGCTAGGAGGGACAGAGAACGGTAGCATGTTTAGGTTGTGTGTGTGTGTGTGTGTGTGTGTGTGTGTGAGAGAGAGAGAAGAAAGAGCAGGGGAGGGCACTCACCTCATCTAGGTTGATCTCGACCATCGAGTCATACTCACAGCCCGTGTCAGGAACCAGCAGGTCAGCGTAATCGTCAGCCAGGGCAGCAATGTCTGAGATGAGAGGGAGGGCAACGGGTCGGATAAATGGATCAAACATCTCTTTGAAAGAAATGACAAACCTTCCAGGTGAGCGTCCAAAATGGCACCCTATTCCCTTTATAGTGTATTATATAGGGAATAGGGTGCCATTTGGGATGCAATCACAGAACTTCCAAACATATTCAGCACATAACCTGAGAGATCATTGCACATCACACACACACAGACGTGTTTGATGACATGAACTGACTGACCTCCACGACCAGTCTTCTCCAGGTAGGTCTTCATGCGGTGGTTGTAGGGGAACACAGAGGTAGTGGCTCCAATCTCAGCCCCCATGTTGCAGATAGTGGCCATTCCTAAAACACACAATAGGCTGTAGGTTACTACGGGCATTTCTACAACACAAAATGTACTACAATGTGGCTTGATAGTAAACACTTGATTGATGATTGTGCTCCTCACACCATACATAGAAAAACAGAAGTACAGTACATTAGACCAGAGATTAGCAGTGGTCAGCTGGTCACCATCCTAGATAGATTATGAACTGTCTTATTGACGGCATAACCCCTATGAAGTGTGCAGTAGTAAACAAGTCCTCCCTCTCTCTGACCTGTGCAGGAGATGGAGTCCACCCCAGGTCCATGGTACTCCACAATGGCTCCAGTACCTCCCTTCACTGTCAGAATCCCAGCTACCTTAAGGATCACATCCTTGGGGGATGTCCACCCTGACAGCTTGCCTGTCAGCTTCACCCCAATAACCTGACAGGGGACAGGAGGAGAACATGGTTAAGTGAAGTTTATGTAGTATCAGTTGTAGAAATGCATTATACCACTGTACTATATTACTGGGACTTCGGAAAAAGGTGTTTTAAATATAAACTGTGAATCACTTACCTTGGGACACTTGAGCTCCCAGGGGATGCCAGCCATGACATCAACAGCATCAGCCCCTCCCACTCCAATGCAGATGGAGCCCAGTCCGCCACCATTGGGTGTGTGAGAGTCTGTGCCAATCAGCAACACCCCTGGGTAGGCATAGTTCTCCAGGATGATCTGAATGGGTGAGATATAATAGTCAGATATGGTACTGCAAACAGATAGCTCTTCATTATAAATGTGCAATATCTTATGTGAACGTATAATGAAAATCTGGACATACATTCATACAATTTTTATAGGAATGTAATTCTATAAGGACATCTTGTCTATAATCAAGTGAGTGCATTACCAGCAACTTTTGTGCCTTCAAAAGTGTAATTTCAGAGTAGCCTTGTTACTGTACCTGATGGATTATGCCAGAGCCTGGTTTCCAGAAGCCCACTCCATATTTAGCTCCAGCACTGGCCAGAAAGTTATACACCTCCGCATTAATATCCTAAGGACCAAGAGAAAAGGACAAATATTATTACCGGTAGTTTATTCTCTAGTCCTGCCTCCATCCCCCAGGCCTGACGATTTTACATTTTAGTCATTTAGCAGACGCTCTTATCCAGAGTGACGTACATGAACAATTAGGGTTAAGTGCCTTGCTCAAGGGCACATCGGCAGATTGCTCACCTAGCCAGCTCTGGGATTTGAACCAGCGACCTTTCGGTTACTGGCCCAAAGCTCTTAACAGCTAGGCTACCTGCCTCCATCCCCCTGTCCAGGCCTTCCCTGATCAGGCCTGGAACTTCATGATTTTAGGGGCAAGGCCATTTGGCCTTCAAGGTGCCCAATCTGCTAGCACACCAAGGTCATTAACCAAAATAGCCAATAAAATGCATTTGAAAACCAAAAAAACTCCAGCTATTCTGTTAAGAAAACATGTACATATATAATTTGCCTACATGTCAAAGTGTAGATGATAGGCTATGTGTATTGGCTACAGCCTCTGTCCACACTGATGCTGACATGAGGGAGGCGCCAGAAAATGTAGCCAAACGTTAATGAGACTTTTAATGGAAAATATGTAGGATAATTCATATTAACGTCTAAAGGCTTGATTCTGTCAACATACGAGGCACTGTTCATTCAGATAGGAAAGGCCAGTGCCTGTTGCGCACCACAACATCACCCACCTTTCAATCTGAGCGGAGTCAGTCAGAATTTTGGAACCATAAACGTAATTGTTTAAAACCTGGACTTTTTATTTTATGAGGCATGTCTTACCTTACTTTAAAGTAGCCTAGTCAAATTCTGGCCATAGGAATGTTGAGGGAATTCTTTTATAAACCCTTCCTCATACCATTGAATCCAGTAGGCTATTTCTCTCATGTTCAACATTCTTTCATTGTCCAGCAGCCAAAGACACAATCCTAGTCATATTAACAGCCCATGCTCGTTGTTGCAGCTTTTGATCTTCCTTCTTTCTAAAGGATATTTTCATCTTCGTCACATTTTCCCGCTAATTGCATTTTGGAAGATTGGCACGTATAGCCTACTGCCGTTTGCACTTATACTGTGAGGAAATAGTTTATCACCATTTTAAAGCTAAACATTCTGATCTGTTGCATCAGCCAAACTGCTTTTAAACAGGTTTTTTATGTACAGTGGTTGTATGAATTTGGGATCCATCGTCCCACAACTGTCCCAGATACTGTTTGGAATATTTAAGCTGACCAATAGAGAAGGTATATTTTTGTACTATGGGGAATAGTAGATTGACATAGGCTAGTGTTGTCGCTGTTCGTTACTCATCTTGTTGACTGAGGAAAAGTAAACGTGGACAGTTCTAACTTATTCAATGTGCGCCTCGGAATTAGATAAGAATGATGCGCACCGTTGCATCCCCGATGTGTCGGTCTTCACTTGTAGCCTACTACAGAGCTGCGAGGCCTGTGATAAGGACCAGATCACGTGATGGACATTGGCCAATAAGAACTGAGATATCTGAGAGAGCCATGTGTGTGAAAGGTGCTTCGGAGCACAGCGATTGGCAGCTGGGAGATTATTATAGTCAGCCACTTTCACCGCAAGGCATGGATTTTATTAGGGGGCATTACGACCACACAAGGGGGCAGACGGCCATCGCTGTTGCCGGGAAATTCGAGGCCTGCCCCTGACTTCTCACCTTTGCCCTCGCCAGGTCCTTGGCTCCTCCGATCTGGGCCTCGATCAGATGATCGCAGTGGATGGTGGAGGGCACGGCCACCTGGGGCAGGCCACTGCTGATGAACTGCAGCATGGCCATCTGGGCTGTGGCGTCCTGCATGGCCACGCGGTCCGGATGCAGACGCAGGTACGTACGGCCCCTGGCGATGTCCTGCCCCACAGGGTCATCCAGATGGCCGTACACAATCTTTTCTGAGAGGGTGAGGGGACGGTTGAGTCTGAAAGGGAGGAGTGCAGAGTGTGCTGAGAGTGTAAATGGCTACAAATAGCTCTAATTGTACAGTTGACACTGAACATAAAAAGTCTGCGTTACAGTCCCATCATTGCCTTGGCAAGACATTGAAGTTGGCTAAGTCAGAAACAGACTGGCACCACACTAGAACAGGCCTTCCACCCTGTCCTGTAAGCTATCTCAATAAGCATGGCATGAAACAGGGACATGTTCTAGTGTAAACAGAGGGGCATACTGACCTCTTGCGCACGATGTTAACATTTTCATTGAGCTTCTCATAGTTCACGTAGTTGCTGGGCTCAAAGCGGCTCATTGACACTTTGGCCTTGGCATTGAAGGCTGCAGACACGTGCAAGCGCCGCACACCCTGGCCCAGGGCAAGCTGGGGACAGAGATAATTCAACATAAAAAGTGTACATCAAAATAATTTGGGCCTAGATTTAGATAGCTCTTTGGGTGGTGTACTAATAATAATAATAATAATAATAATAATAATAATAATAAGCCATTTAGCAGACGCTTTTATCCAAAGCGACTTACAGTCATGTGCGCATACATTTTTACGTATGGGTGGTCCCAGGGATCGAACCCACTAACCTGGCGTTACAAGCGCCATGCTCTACCAATTGAGCTACAGAGGACCATGAGTAGTCAACTTGGATGAAAAAGAGTGCCTGCACCCGCAAAGAAATAAATCATAAAAAGGGAAGGGTGGGTTTATTACAGAAAGTTATGCACAAGTGTGTATATAGAGAGCAGTATGTGGATGGGAGTGGCAAATAACCTCAACATTTTCTTGTTGAGCACATAGACTCATTCTAGCTCAAGGTGAAACAGCTCTTCCTGTGCCTCTAGATGGGAGCTGTGTAATTGTATGGAACCGGATGAGATCATATCATTGGCATAATGTGGGGTAAACAAGCATTTGAGAATGTATGCATGTGTGATTGCCAGCATACCAGTGTCAAATACGAGGACATCTGGAAAATTCTAATGTTTAGTCAATAATCAGCGCTAAATGAGTCCTTCAATGAAAATCCCTGAACCCTGTCATACAACTGACATCTACAACAGCTGAGACATACAGAAATCAACAGGTATTTTGTCTTTCCGTGTCACCAAATACGTACTGTCACTCAAAGGTATGGGGAGGAAACCAGATCTATGAACGTCAAACAGCTCTAAAAATGGCAAGATTTTTTTTTTTTTAAACAAGACTTCAGCATAATGCCAATAAGTCAATTTTGACTTGAGATTTTTAAAAAACACAAAAGATCAGAAATAGTCAAGAATCGTATGACAAACTGCTTTCGAATGACACCTCTATTTAGGGACAGTATTCTGACCGTATTGTTTTCACTGGCCAGGCTGCGTCGTGCTTGCCAGCGCCCTGTGTGGTTGCTATGCGCCCTAACCTTGCGTTAACCTTGCAATCAATAAACGTGTCCTCGGTTGAAATGACATATAGAGCGCAATGACATCTTACAGTAGGCCACATTCTTCCAATTTTCAACATTACAAATGGCTTTAAAAAGCCATATATTTGTGTGGAAATGACAAACTTGAGTTCATGACGAAGCTTCGAGGCAACTGGACAAGATGACCTGAAAAGTCGGCAAGACTTTGATCGTACTCTCTCAGACAAACATCATATAAAGACATCAGGTCCACATCCAAAGTGCATTCACTTGTATTTGAGGGTGAATTCTCATACATCGATGGCACATAAATGCAATATAATGTGTGAAAAACTGTCACCTACCTGCAGCCGGGCAACGGTAAGACAGTAGGTCGCCATTTTGTTCACTGACAAAGATGTGTCGAGCAGATGTGACGTCAGATTTTGTAGCCATCAACGTCGCGTGTCTATGCAGGAAAATAGAAATATAGGTTTTCTGGGTCCTACTCTAATTTTGAATTCAGAAATGTATATACAATATATTTTCTTAACTAATATAGGATATGGATGCCAAACATTAAACCCTGCTATTTTGTATTTAATATTTTGTATACGTAGCTGCAAGGACCCCGGAATTAATTATGTGGGGTTCATATTTAAAATTCTCCCTTTGAATTTAGCCAGATTAATTCACGAACATATCCATAGCCATAGTAATTTGAACTAACGTGAAATAATCTCAAATAATATGATCCGAAAAAGAAACTAAACGAAAATACGAAGTTGAAAGGTCACGTGTGTTTGTGGGTCAAAGTTCAACATAGCTATCGCATGCCCTGAGTTCGCCGACAATGGCTAAACATCATCCAGATTTGATATTTTGTAGAAAACAAGCCGGTGTCGGTAAGCTGTTCATTTTATTTTCACTGCATAGGATTGTTTTAGTACTAACTTCTAGTCAGCAATTATCTGTGCTGTGAATGGTTATTGCTGTGCTCAAGCCTTTTGTTGATAGTGGCTAGCTAGCTAAGCTAGTACAGTAACTAGCATGCTAGTAGGAGCAGTTAGCAAATGTTGTTCATTCATTTAGCTAGTTAACTTTACCATAACTTGCTTCTTCATCAACCCTTTGACTTGCCTTCTAACGTTATAGTTAGCTATATTGTAGCTAAGTTGACTCAGAACTGTTATTGATCGCATACTCGCTTAGCCAGCTCTATGAAACAATTCTCTGTTGGGTACTTTGTAATCATGTTCAATCACTGATTTGTTCTGTTTACTTTTCAGCTATTGGAAGATTGTGCGAGAAATGTAAGTTTCAATATCAAACGTTTACAACTTTACATCTGTCTGTCTCAAATAGGGTCCTTTCTTAAATGGGGGGGTGTTAAGAGCCGCGACGCTCGGTTTGAACATAAACACGCATTGCTTGCGGTACGGTTTTGAAAGCTTAAGGACCTTATCTTTCATAGTGGCAATAAATTATAATTATATATATATATATACTTCTCAAAAAAATAAAGGGAACACTTAAACAACACATCCTAGATCTGAATGAATGAAATAATCTTATTAAATACTTTTTTCTTTACATAGTTGAATGTGCTGACAACAAAATCACACAAATTATCAATGGAAATCAAATTTATCAACCCATGGAGGTCTGGATTTGGAGTCACCCTCAAAATTAAAGTGGAAAACCACACTACAGGCTGATCCAACTTTGATGTAATGTCCTTAAAACAAGTCAAAATGAGGCTCAGTAGTGTGTATGGCCTCCACGTGCCTGTATGACCTCCCTACAACGCCTGGGCATGCTCCTGATGAGGTGGCGGATGGTCTCCTGAGGGATCTCCTCCCAGACCTGGACTAAAGAATCCGCCAACTCCTGGACAGTCTGTGGTGCAACGTGGCGTTGGTGGATGGAGCGAGACATGATGTCCCAGATGTGCTCAATTGGATTCAGGTCTGGGGAACGGGCGGGCCAGTCCATAGCATCAATGCCTTCCTCTTGCAGGAACTGCTGACACACTCCAGCCACATGAGGTCTAGCATTGTCTTGCATTAGGAGGAACCCAGGGCCAACCGCACCAGCATATGGTTCTCACAAGGGGTCTGAGGATCTCATCTCGGTACCTAATGGCAGTCAGGCTACCTCTGGCGAGCACATGGAGGGCTGTGCGGCCCCCCAAAGAAATGCCACCCCACACCATGACTGACCCACCGCCAAACCGGTCATGCTGGAGGATGTTGCAGGCAGCAGAACGTTCTCCACGGCGTCTCCAGACTCTGTCACATGTGCTCAGTGTGAACCTGCTTTCATCTGTGAAGAGCACAGGGCGCCAGTGGTGAATTTGCCAATCTTGGTGTTCTCTGGCAAATGCCAAACGTCCTGCACGGTGTTGGGCTGTAAGCACAACCCCCACCTGTGGACGTCGGGCCCTCATACCACCCTCATGGAGTCTGTTTCTGACCGTTTGAGCAGACACATGCACATTAGTGGCCTGCTGGAGGTCATTTTGCAGGGCTCTGGCAGTGCTCCTCCTGCTCCTCCTTGCACAAAGGAGGTGGTAGCGGTCCTGCTGCTGGGTTGTTGCCCTCCTACGGCCTCCTCCACGTCTCCTGATGTACTGGCCTGTCTCCTGGTAGCGCCTCCATGCTCTGGAACACTACGCTGACAGACACAGCAAACCGTCTTGCCACAGCTCGCATTGATGTGCCATCCTGGATGAGCTGCACTACCTGAGCCACTTGTGTGGGTTGTAGACTCCGTCTCATGCTACCACTAGAGTGAAAGCACCGCCAGCATTCAAAAAGTGACCAAAAACATCAGCCAGGAAGCATAGGAACTGAGAAATGGTCTGTGGTCACCACCTGCAGAACCACTTCTTTATTGGGGGTGTCTTGCTAATTGCCTATAATTTCCACCTGTTGTCTATTCCATTTGCACAACAGCATGTGAAATGTATTGTCAATCAGTGTTGCTTCCTAAGTGGACAGTTTGATTTCACAGAAGTGTGATTGACTTGGAGTTACATTGTGTTGTTTAAGTGTTCCCTTTATTTTTTTGAGCTGTGTGTGTGTGTATATATATATATATATATATATATATATACACACACACACTGTCTTCCATCTGTTTTCCGTAAACAAGCGCTGTAACATGGATATATATATATATATATAACAGATGGAAGACAGTGGACTACCTATGCTAACGTTAATTAGCTACCATTATCTGCATCTCCGAACACCTGTGTGTAAATGGAAAATAGACGCCACAAACGTTTTGTCACTGAAAAATAATGTAGGCTAACTGTTTTAAAACAGTAAGTATGTATTTTGCATTTGTGAAATTATTGATGTGATATGAAAGTAGAGGGATTTTTGTTTCTAGAACCGTATCACAATCGAAAATCGATTCACGTTTAGATGGAGTATTTGGCTGTTTTGGCTTCTAGAGCCAATTCGCCCTTTAAAAGGAACATGTAAGATCCTTGGACTAAGGAGTAACGTTAGGCTCATTTAGTCCAATATTGGGCAAAATGAAACCTTTCATACAATGCTTGCCCGAAGTGGTGAGAAGGTGACTTTATGGACCTGAATGCCAAAACATTCAGGAGATAGAGGTACTCAAAGTTGACCCCGTTTTGCCTACCCTACCTAGCTACAGTTTGTTACGCAAGATATGTGATAACTATGTTTTCATACTTGATGATACTTAGTTTATACAAAACGCTGCCATAGATTTTTAAACTAACCTGCTCTTGGTGATACTTTATTCGTTCTCAATTGAGGAAAGGTTAAATGTCCGTGTCCAGTTGCAGGTGGTTCTACAAAAACCAGAGAACTCAGGAAGATATTAAATGATGTTTTGTACAGCGCGAGGAGGTTCCTAGCCATCTTAATTGCTGCACATCTAGCATTTCCCAGCATCTTTGCAGGAACTAGATTTCTATGCGCCGCAGCCATGTGTAGATGTCAGTGCGACTAAAACAAAGATCTACACGCATGCAAAGGGCATTTCTCACTTGATACGAAACATGGATTTAATATCTTTCTGAGTTCTCTGGTTTTTGTAAAACCACCTGCAACTGGACATGGATATTTATACGATTTTTTTCCCAGAATCGAGATTGAAGAAAGTATCACCAAAAGCAGTTTACTAGAAAAATCAGCGTTTTGTATAAGCTAAGCTGTAACATTGAGTATGGAAACATAGTTATCACAGCTTGCGTAACAAACTGTAGCTGCATCCTATCATGAGACGTCCATGTCTTCATCACTGTAAAAGATAAACGGTTGAGTTTGATATCCACTCACTACTGTAAGTCGCTCTGGATAAGAGCGTCTGCTAATTGACTAACAAACAGGGTTGTCAAACTATTCTATGGTTTCTTGAGAAAAATATTTTCTGTTTTAACCTCAATTATCTAAAAGTATAAACACCGTTTTTATTTATTTATTTAATTTTCACAAATGTTGTAGCTCTTAGACCAATCAATCAAATTGTATTTATAAAGCCCTTTTTACATCAGCAGATGTCACAAAGTGCTATACAGAAACCCAGCCTAAAACCCCAAACGGCAAGCAATGCAGATGTAGAAGCATGGTGGCTAGGAAAAACTCCCTAGAAAGGCAGAAACCTAGAGAGGAACCAGGCTCTGAGGGGTGGCCAGTCCTCTTCTGGCTGTGCCGGGTGGAGATTGTAACAGTACATGGCCATTAAGGCCAGATTTTTCTCCAAGAGGTTCAAATGTTCATAGATGACCAGCAGGGTCAAATAATAATCACAGTGGTTGTAGAGACCCTCTACAAATATGGTTGTGCCTGTCATCGGTTGAGACACAGTATACTCTTGAATACAGGGTGGGTGTCATTTCAATCATAGAAATACAATTCATAGAATGGACCTATCCCTTCAGACAAGGGTTGAATGGCGGGAAACCGGTTACTGAGATTTACCGGGATAAATATCTGCGAGAAACCAGTAAATTATAAGATATTATTTTTATGAACAGCATGGCGTGAAAGGAACTGTTAAATTATATGCAATATCTAAATCTGGCTTCTCTACAGCCTCTGCATGATGAATCAACGCTCAGGGTGGGGACAGACCCATCTCAGTATGGAGCAGTTCACATTGCATGTAGTAGACCTATCATCTCATGGTCATATTTTTTTTCTTGTGACAGGTAGGTCTACATTTGCTGTAGCATGGCCTAAGCTACAGTAATATAAAGACTGACTGCGCGTCTAATTTACCCATCTGCATCTGGCTTTCGGGGGTCACCTTATTTTTTTATTGTAAAGAAAAGGGAAAAAATGCAGCTGCAGAGTTTTAAAACAGCCTATCAATCGAATATCGTTGCTTTAAATCAGTGCACACGTGAGCTCTCCTCTCACTCCAACTCCATTCAAATTGCATCCAAAATAGATAATCCTGTTCTAGATTGATATATAGCCCTATATATAGATGTCCTAGCCTACCTCTTTCAGGTAATAAATTCAATGCAGTATTAGCCTTATATTTAGCTCATTAATGATGGGTTATGCATAATAAGCTTCTAACTTATAGCCTCTGTCTCTTGCGCAATACGCAAGCACCTCTCCTTAATAATAATATGCCATTTAGCAGACGCTTTTATCCAAAGCGACTTACAGTCATGTGCGCATAAATTTTTAAGTATGGGTGGTCCCGGGGATCGAACTCACTACCCTGGCTTTACAAGCGCCATGCTCTACCAATTGAGCTACAGAGGACCACCTTAAAAATGCTCCTTAGCTCTTGGAGTCCCATGCAGGGAAAGCTAGACTAGAATAGCTTGCTGGACATTATTTTTTTTAGCATTACTTATACCAATAATCTATTCGAAGAGTGACGCAAGCTCTTTTTTTCTGAATGTTAAACACAGCAGGCCAATAGAACTCATGGGTAGTTTGAAAGAAGAGCGAACGCAGTAGGCTATAGCAGTTATTTATTCAGACCCATAACCACTCAATATTCGTGAAGAGAAGTGAAAGGCCTTCTGCATCTAAATCTAGTCCTATATTATTCAAGGATGTCATTAGAATGATTAAGATAAGGACAGCAACTTATTTCATTTAACTGTTGAAAGCGAGGAAGGAATGAAGCAACAATAGAGAGAGAAAGAGGTAGGCTAATAACATTAGGGGAAATATTATGAAAGGTACAGTATATATGAGTCCGCCTACTAGTTATACAAAGAGGCCCTATTATATTTCAAAATTAAAATCAAATTCGCTAGCCTATACTTGTAACTTTGTAAGCCACATGTGCTGCACCAGAATCGCATGTTCTCTTCTGCTTTATCATGGTTGAAACGATGTGCGTAATTCCAGTCCATATAAAACAGTATAGTACAATACAGTACAGTAATACAGTTCACAGACTAGCCTACTGGAGCTAGTTTAATTTATTTACCCAGGAGAGCCTATAGCTAGTTACATCAATGGGCGTTTATGTTTTTCTGTCGTTTGTAATGTGCAATAGCCTATATCATATTTGTATTGTATAATGGCACAATCTTTTGGGCTCGGGCTCATTTAATGTCGTTAATGTAGGGCTCATAAAATGTATTTAATATATGGCTCAGGTAGCATCAGGTTTAAATTTTCATTATGCTCTAATCAAATCCAGACATTTTATGTGCTTTATAATGCTTTTGAATGACACTGCAGGTTTTGGAGGGAAATACCGGGTTACCCGGGAAAAATGTGATTTATTTTCGGGGTGGAACATATGTAAAATTCCGGGAAAATATTAAACTCTACTTAAGACACCTGTAATTTAGCTGGTACACCAATGACATTTAAACTGAATTGAAACTTTAACTTCCAAATATAGCTGCAAGCAGCAATGAAAGGGGTTCACAGGATGACAGATAGGACACAAGATATGTGCAATCAGTGAAACCATTACCATGTTTATCTCTCAATACGCAAGTGAAGTTTAATCTGGTGATGTAGGTTGCAGTAGCAGTGCGTGGGTAAAATCACCAGAGATGCCAATCCAGAAAAAAAAAAGCCATATTACAACCTGTGTGTTGTGATAATTGCGTTTGCTCTATAACCTGTTAGTTCATATGCCTTGACACCGAGACAATAAGACAATGGCAGAATAAATTAAACCACACATTTGTTTGATTACAAAACTGGAGAGCAATGTGTGTATGGTGAAGTCCACAAAACTTCTTGCATGTAACAAACAGTTACATGACCTAGAGCACGGTCAAGCAAGGTAATGTTTCCGAAATTTTTTGACAACTAAACAACTATTGATTTAGAACCACAGAGTTACTGCAAGTCGCAAAGAGAACAGGAGCTGCCTCCACTATTCCAGCACCATTTCAACTTCATCTAATCACTGATGCATAGTCTAATACCGTGATAACAAAAACGATATAGTCCAATCAACGTAAGCTAAATATGATGTGGCTGTCCATGGTACTGATTTCCGTGTGTGCATGCGTGCATGTAGAAATAAACATATGTTGACTCACCCTACTTGTAGAGAAACGCCAATGCCATCCTCCTCTTTCATTTTGCCTAAACGGTCTATGACTCTGTCATACAGTACACTCTTTTAGTTTTTGTTGTCCTAGGCTACCTGGCTAAAATACTTGATTGCTAGACTAACTTCCTTTCATGGGCAACAATACGCCAGGCCAGCTAGTTAACATTAGCATACTACATCTAGCTACATGTAGAACTTCCATCCTCTTAGGCCAGGGGCACAATGCATGAATGTATGGTTGGATCAGAATCGCCGTTATAATCATTGGCCAGTATGGAGAATTAAGTAAAACCACAAGTCCAAATCCCTATCTCCATCCATGGCTAATTTAGGAAAGGGCTGATTTTAGCTAGCTAGCCACCAGAGGACAACAACAAAATGAGATGCAACCATTCAAAAACAAAATCTGTCAAAAATTACATTTGGCTTGTGATGTGATTGGTCTGAAGCCAAATTCAAACTGGTTTCCCATTTTATTTTATTTTTTGTGCACCAGGACTACTCACATCATAGCTCACTCGGTTTCGCTCAACGCTGATTGGTTATTTATCTTTTTAATAAAAAAATGTTAAGGAAGGCCAAATGCTCGCTGGCTTCCCTAGCATTCAATGCTACGGGCGGCAACAATGTCATACTCTTTCTGACCTGACAGCGTCAGATAGATACGCTAAAACATACTGCAACTGAGGGTCGCTGTTTCGTTCGCTCGGATGCTTTAACCAGTGAGATACATTCAGCCTCTTGCGTATTGAAGGACATTTATGAAACAGAGAGGTTAAGTAAATTATTTAGTATCTTTATTTTTTTTTCTTGGTACATTTTTTTTGGGAAGCCTGGCTTCCCTTGGAATCCATGAATACACGCCACTGGTAGGTTGATTATCTTTGAATGCAACAGGTAATCATTCTTAAAGTCATTACTTAATGTATTGAGTTTATATACAAATTCTGGGGTTAATTTGACCAATGGTTTATGTTAAGATTTATGAATGACAGTGCCTTCGGAAAGTATTCAGACCCCTTTACTTTTTCCACATTTTGTTACGTTACGGCCTTATTCTAAAATGTATTAAATTAAAGATTTTCCTCATCAATCTACACACAATACCCCATAATGACAAAGCGAAAACGGGTTTTTAGAAAAAACGGAAATACCTTATTTACATAAGTATTCAGACTTTGCTATGAGACTCGAAATTGAGCTCAGGTGGATCCTGTTTCCATTGATCATCCTTGAGATGTTTCTACAACTTGGAGTCCACCTGTGTTAAATTCAATTGATTGGACATGATTTGGAAAAGCTCACACCTGTTTATGTAAGGTCCCACAGTTGACAGTGCATGTCAGAGCAAAAACCAAGCCATGAGGTCGAAGGAATTGTCTGTAGAGCTCCGAGACAGGATTGTGTCAAGGCACAGATCTGGGGAAGGGTACATAAACATTTCTGCAGCATTGAAGGTCCCCAAAAACACAGTGGCCTCCATCATTCTTAAATGGAAGAAGTTTGGAACCACCAAGACTCTTCCTAGAACTGGCCTCCCAGCCAAACTGTGCAATCGGGGGAGACGGGCCTTGGTCAGACTTTGAATGCAGCAACTAATCATTCTCAAATTCATTAGAGGCTAATTCAATTCAAATCTGGAGTCTGACTCATGGGCCTCGGCTAACATGTATGGAAGGTTTCGTGCAGTCAGAAAGGGATTTAAATAATATGGAACGACCCAATACACAGGGTAGTTAATACTTATTTCTCCACTTCCTCAGATTTACCCCAAACATCCTGCACGTAATATGTATTATAATCAACACTTTGATGTCTTTATCTGCATATGTGCATGGCTCAGTTCAAAATGGAATTAACACACTCATCCCTCTCTCCCCACTCTCCTAGGTGATGGAAAGTGTGTGATTTGTGATTCGTATGTGAGGCCGTGCACGCTGGTGCGCATCTGTGACGAATGCAACTACGGGTCCTACCAGGGGCGCTGTGTCATCTGTGGAGGTCCTGGTGTGTCTGATGCTTACTACTGCAAGGAGTGCACCATCCAGGAGAAAGATGTAGGTGTCCTACTCTCTCACCTCTTTCTCACACTTGGATTATAAAAGGAGTAGAAATACCTGCACACCGTTGAATGCGCCTGTATAGTTTATTGCAATGTTTCCAATAAACAACATTGGAATAAACTATACGGGATAATTCAACAGTGTGTGCAGGTACATTAATGTTGTGAACAAATTATAGCAGTCTAAGCAGACAATTGAAATGAAAGTGGTTCTATAATCCAGTTTATACCCATTGTCTCACGTCAGATAGCGCAACGATTCTGTCGGTTGAGGGACGAGTATCGCGTAGGAGTGACGCCACCTGTCAGAAGACAGAATATTATACCAGAAATATTAGAGAAAAGGAGATGACGCATATCCACATTTTCCCATTGAAAGAAATGGTCACGGTTCCGGTCTGTAAAAGTGGGCATTCCCCCTCTTGCCAGAGCATGCTTTCTCATAGTGTTGCACAGGTATACCGGTACTATCACGGTATCAAAACGTCATGGTACTTATGATACCAACATTTTAGAATACCGTAGTAATTTAATTTAATATGTCATACTGTTTCATATGATACTTTCTGGCCAACCGATCTAAAGAACCTGCTGGCTTCTGTTATACGATGTTTATAAAGTCAGTTTTGTTTATAAATTTAGTGGCGCAGCGGTCTAAGGCACTGCATCGCAGTGCTTGAGGCGTCACTACAGACCCGGTTTCGATCCCAGGCTGTGTCACAGCCGGCCGAGGCCCATGAGGCGGCCAACAATTGGCCCTGCCAACACTGTTTTGGTTACCACATGATTCCATATGTGTTATTTCATAGTTTTGATGTCTTCACTATTATTCATCAATGTAGAAAATAGTTATAAAAAATAAAGAAAAACCCTGGAATGAGTAGGTGTCCAAACTTTTGACTGGTACTGTGTGTGTGTGTGTGTGTGTATATATACAGTGGGGGAAAAAAGTATTTAGTCAGCCACCAATTGTGCAAGTTCTCCCACTTAAAAAGATGAGAGAGGCCTGTAATTTTCATCATAGGTACACGTCAACTATGACAGACAAATTGAGGGAAAAAAAATCTAGAAAATCATATTGTAGGATTTTTAATGAATTTATTTGCAAATTATGGTGGAAAATAAGTATTTGGTCACCTACAAACAAGCAAGATTTCTGGCTCTCACAGACCTGTAACTTCTTCTCTAAGAGGCTCCTCTGTCCTCCACTCGTTACCTGTATTAATGGCACCTGTTTGAACTTATCAGTATAAAAGACACCTGTCCACAACCTCAAACAGTCACACTCCAAACTCCACTATGGCCAAGACCAAAGAGCTGTCAAAGGACACCAGAAACAAAATTGTAGACCTGCACCAGGCTGGGAAGACTGAATCTGCAATAGGTAAGCAGCTTGGTTTGAAGAAATCAACTGTGGGAGCAATTATTAGGAAATGGAAGACATACAAGACCACTGATAATCTCCCTCAATCTGGGGCTCCACACAAGATCTCACCCCGTGGGGTCAAAATGATCACAAGAACGGTGAGCAAAAATCCCAGAACCACACGGGGGGACCTAGTGAATGACCTGCAGAGAGCTGGGACCAAAGTAACAAAGCCTACCATCAGTAACACACTACGCCGCCAGGGACTCAAATACTGCAGTGCCAGACGTGTCCCCCTGCTTAAGCCAGTACATGTCCAGGCCCGTCTGAAGTTTGCTAGAGTGCATTTGGATGATCCAGAAGATGATTGGGAGAATGTCATATGGTCAGATGAAACCAAAATAGAACTTTTTGGTAAAAACTCAAATCGTCGTGTTTGGAGGACAAAGAATGCTGAGTTGCATCCAAAGAACACCATACCTACTGTGAAGCATGGGGGTGGAAACATCATGCTTTGGGGCTGTTTTTCTGCAAAGGGACCAGGACGACTGAAGGAAAGAATGAATGGGGCCATGTATCGTGAGATTTTGAGTGAAAACCTCCTTCCATCAGCAAGGGCATTGAAGATGATACGTGGCTGGGTCTTTCAGCATGACAATGATCCCAAACACACCGCCCAGGCAACGAAGGAGTGGCTTCGTAAGAAGCATTTCAAGGTTCTGGAGTGGCCTAGCCAGTCTCCAGATCTCAACCCCATAGAAAATCTTTGGAGGGAGTTGAAAGTCCGTGTTGCCCAGCGACAGCCCCAAAACATCACTGCTCTAGAGGAGATCTGCATGGAGGAATGGGCCAAAATACCAGCAACAGTGTGTGAAAACCTTGTGAAGACTTACAGAAAACGTTTGACCTGTGTCATTGCCAACAAAGGGTATATAACAAAGTATTGAGAAACTTTTGTTATTGACCAAATACTTATTTTCCACCATAATTTGCAAATAAATTCATTAAAAATCCTACAATGTGATTTTCTGGAGAAAAAAAATCTCATTTTGTCTGTCATAGTTGACGTGTACCTATGATGAAAATTACAGGCCTCTCTCATCTTTTTAAGTGGGAGAACTTGCACAATTGTGGCTGACTAAATACTTTTTTCCCCCACTGTATATGTGTATACAGTTGGAAGTCGGAAGTTTACATACACCTTAGCCAAATACATTTAAACTCAGTTTTTCACAATTCCTGACATTTAATCCTAGTAAAAATTTGCTGTTTTAGGTCAGTTAGGATCACTACTTTATTTTAAGAATGTGAAATGTCAGAATAATAGTAGAGAGAATGATTTATTTCAGTTTTTATTTATTTCATCACATTCCCAGTGGGTCAGACGTTTACATACACTCAATTAGTATTTGGTAGCATTGCCTTTTAAATTGTTTAACTTGTGTCAAACGTTTTGGGTAGCATTCCACAAGCTTCCCACAATAAGTTGGGTGAATTTTGGCCCATTCCTACTGACAGAGCTGGTGTAACTGAGTCAGGTTTGTAGGCGTCCTTGCTCGCACACACTTTTTCAGTTCTGCCCACAAATGTTCTAAAGGAATGAGGTCAGGGCTTTGTGATGGCCACTCCAATACCTTGACTTTGTTGTCCTTAAGCCATTTTGCCACAACTTTGGAAGTATGCTTGGGGTCATTGTCCATTTGGAAGACCCATTTGCGACCAAGCTTTAACTTCCTGTCTGATGTCTTGAGATGTTGCTTCAATATATCCACATAATTTTCCTTCCTCATGATGCCAGCTATTTTGTGAAGTGCACCAGTCCCTCCTGCAGCAAAGCACCCCTACAGCATGATGCTGCCACCCCCGTGCTTCACGGTTGGGATGGTGTTCTTCGGCTTGCAAGCCACCCCCTTTTTCCTCCGAACATAACGATGGTCATTATGGCCAAACAGTTCTATTTTTGTTTCATCAGACCAGAGGACATTTCTCCAAAAAGTATGATCTTTGTCCCCATGTGCAGTTGCAAACCATAGTCTGGCTTTTTTATGGCGGTTTTGGAGCAGTGGCTTCTTCCTTGCTGAGCGGCCTTTCAGGTTATGTCGATATAGGACTCGTTTTACTGTGGATATACACTACCAGTCAAAAGTTTTAGAACACCTACTCATTCAAGGGTTTTTCTTGATTTTTACGTTGTAGAATAATAGTGAAGACATCAAAACTATGAAATAACACATGTGGAATCATGTAGTAACCAAAAAAGTGTTAAATAAATCAAAATATATTTGAGATTCTTCAAATAGCCACCCTTAGCCTTGATGACAGCTTTGCACATTCTTGGCATTCTCTCAACCAGCTTCATGAGGTAGTCACCTGGAATGCATTTAAATTAACAGGTGTGCCTTCTTAAAAGTTAATTTGTGGAATTTCTTTCCTTCTTAAAACGTTGTGTTGTGACAGGGTAGGGGTGGTATAGAGAAGATAGCCCTATTTGGTAAAAGACCAAGTCCATATTATGGCAAAGAGAAACGACAGTCCATCATTACTTTAAGACATGAAGGTCAGTCAATACGGAACATTTCAAGAACTTTGAATGTTTCTTCAAGTGCAGTCGCAAAAACCATCAAGCGTTATGATGAAACTGTCTCTCATGAGGACCGCCACAGGAATGGAAGACCCAGAGTTACCTCTGCTGCAGAGGATAAGTTCATTAGAGTTACCAGCCTCAGAAATCGCAGCCCAAATAAATGCTTCACAGAGTTCAAGTAACAGACACATCTCAACATCAACTGTTCAGAGGACACTGTGTGAATCAGGCCTTCATGGTCGAATTGCTGCAAAGAAACCACTACTAAAGGACACCAATAATAAGAAGAGACCTGCTTGGGCCAAGAAACACGAGCAATGGACATTAGACCGGTGGAAATGTGTTCTTTGGTCTGGAGTCCAAATTGGAGATTTTGGGTTCCAACCGCTGTGTCTTTGTGAGACGCGGTGTGGGTGAACGGATGATCTCTGCATGTGTTTTTACCACCGTAAAGCATGGAGGAGGAGGTGTTATGTGTTGGGGTGCTTTGCTGGTGACACTGTCTGTGATTTCCTTAGAATTCAAGGCACACTAAACCAGCATGACTACCACAGCATTCTTCAGCGATACGCCATCCCATCTGGTTTGGGCTTAGTGGGACTATAATTTGTTTTTCAACAGGACAATGACCCAACACACCTCCAGGCTGTGTAAGGGCTATTTGACCAAGAAGGAGAGTGATGGAGTGCTGCATCAGATGACCTGGCTTCCACAATCCCCCGACCTCAACCCAATTGAGATGGTTTGGGATGAGTTGGACCGCAGAGTGAAGGAAAAGCAGTTCCAAATGTGGGAACTCCTTCAAGACTGTTGGAAAAGCATTCCAGGTGAAGCTGGTTGAGAGAATGCCAAGAGTGTGCAAAGCTGTCATCAAGGCAAAGGGTGGCTATTTGAATAATATAAAATATATATTGATTTGTTTAACACTTTTATGGTTACTACATGATTCCATATGTGTTATTTCATAGTTTTGATGTCTGCACTATTATTCTACAATGTAGAAAATAGTCAAAATAAGAAAAACCCTGGAATGAGTAGGTGTTCTAAAAATGTTGACCGGTACTGCAGATACTTTTGTACCTGTTTCCTCCAGCATCTTCACAAGGTCCTTTGCTGTTGTTCTGGGATTGATTTGCACTTTTCGCACCAAAGTACATTCATCTCTAGGAGACAGAACGCGTCTCCTTCCTGAGCGGTATGACGGCTGCGTGGTCCCATGGTGTTTATACTTGTTCCTGACCGACTTGCCAAAACTATAGTTTGTTAACAAGAAATGTGTGGAGTGGTTGAAAAACGAGTTTGAATGACTCCAACCTAAGTGTATGTAAACTTCCGACTTCAACTGTGTATGTATGTATGTATGTATGTATGATTTGTACATTTGTTACATTGGAGCAGCCCGCAAAGCTAGCAATGTTCATACATTGTAAAATGTAATCGCCTGTTATAACCAATAGCACAGACCAGTCTGGGTAGACTTTGTAAATTCACTGTCATGCAGCATCTGAGTGTCAGAGAGGGAAAATGGAGCACTGCTTCACGACAGGCATGCTTGCAGCTTTACAGCAAAGTAAATGGCTTGTCTCTAGTCTAAACGGTTCAAACAATATATTTATTTCTGGTGCTCCTTAAATTCTGTTTGGTGCCTAAAGTTTTAAAAGTTGGGAGCAGTGTGTTTTGTGGGAGAGAGAGTGGTGTGTGTGTGTGTGTGTGTGTATTTATGAGAGTGAGGGAGACAGTGTGTGAGGAAGGGAGGGAGAGCGTGTGTGTGTGTGTGTGTGTGTGTGTGTGTATGTTAACTGAAGAGTTTAGAAGGTTTCATGCAGTGTTTTCTCCTTACTGACACAATGACATGCAGATCATTATGCATTTGGAAAGTATTCAGACCCCTTCCCCTTTTCCACATTTTGTTACGTTACAGCCTTATTCTAAAACATATTAAATAAATGTTTTTCCTCATCAATCTACACACAATACCCCATAATGACAAAGCAAAAACTGGTTTAGAAATGTTTTGAAAATAAATTTAAAAACAGAAATACCTTATTTACATAATTATTCAGACCCTTTGCTGACACTCGAAATAGAGCTCAGGTGCATCCTGTTTCCATTGATCATTCTTGAGATGTTTCTACAACTTGATTGGAGTCCACCTGTGGTAAATTCAATTGATTGGACATGATTTGGAAAGGCACACACCTGTCTATTTAAGGTCCCACAGTTGACAATGCATGTCAGAGCAAAAACCAAGCCGTGAGGTCGAAGGAATTGTCTGTGGATGCCTGTATCTTTGTAGGTACGGGGTGTATTGATACACCAGCCAAAGTGTAATTAATAACTTCACCATGCTCAAGGGGATATTCAATGTCTGCTTTGTTTTTTTCTCTCTCTACCAATAACTGCCCTTTGCGGGGCTTTGGAAAACGTCCCTGGTCTTTGTGGTTGAATCTGTTTTTGAAAGATTCACTGCTCGACTAAGGAACCTTACAGATCATTGTGTGTGTGTGGGGGGTACAGAGATGAGGTAGTCATTAAAAAATCATGTTAAATACTATTATTGCACACAGAGTGAGTCCATGCAACTTATGTGACTTGTTAAGCACATTTTTACTCCTGAACTTATTTAGGCTTATTTGGGTAACAAAGGGGTTGAATACTGACTCAAGACATTTCAGCTTTTCATTTTATATTAATTTGTAAACATTTCAAAAAACATAATTCCACTGTGACAGTATGGGGTATTGTGTGTGTGTGTGTGTGTGTGTGTGTGTAGGCCAGTGACCAATAAATCTAAATTTCACTAAATCTTTCATTCCGGCTGTAACGCAACAAAATGTGGAAAAAGTCTAGGGGTGTGAATACTTTCTGAAGTCTCTGTACTTATTGGAAAGATGTCTGTTTGGGCTCAGAATGTTCAGAACACGTTCGGCTTGTCATAAAATCTTCCCAATATGTACTACCCGTTAGTATGAAAAAATGAGCGTATGAGGTGTCTTGATTTCTATACCGTCTCTTGTTTATACCTGCACTAACAAGTTGCTACTCTCTCTACACTTCTCGGTTTGACCCTACAGCGAGACGGATGCCCCAAGATTGTGAACCTGGGCAGCTCAAAGACTGACCTGTTTTATGAACGGAAGAAGTATGGGTTCAAGAAGAGGTGAAGACAGGACAGTCTAACATGCTTTGCTTCAGGTTTTTTTTTAACTTTTCTTTTTGTAAACATGTTTTGACAATACAATAAAGCCTTTTATATTACTGCCGTGTGTGTGTGTGTATTTTCCTCAAGTTTTAGGGTTAATGATCTAGTGTTCGTACTTCTGAATCGAGCATTACACATTGAAATTCTCATTTATTGATATCATGAAACTAGAACTGGGGAATGTCCTGCAGGAAAGATTGACTAACAACTCTCATTGCCTGACTCAACAGTGGATTTAAGCGCCCTCTACTGGTTTGAGAGGTGATTCAGTGTTTTGTGTTCCATCGCCACTTGCAAATGTAATCAACACCTCTACATTGAAATTTGATAAAAGAATTTGTGCATCCACAACACTGAGGTATTCACTATTTATGTAGTTACTGTTGGGTACAGCCCCTAACACACTCATCCATTGTTGGTCTTGGCCACTTCCTCTTTAAATTTCTTCCTCCAGATCTTCCCCACCAGATGGCATCTTTTCACGGTTTATCACAGTGGCTAATGCAACAGTGACTGTGTTACGCAACATCAGGGGTGTATTCACTAGGAACCAAATGAAACTGAGGGACCTACCTGACTTTCCAATAAACACATTTTTTGTGTTTTTCCGTTGCCATTTCAAAACGTTGTGGACTAATGATTAAACCCCAGGCATGGGCACATTTTTTTTTAGAAGAACAAGTTAAATGCCAAAAAAAAGAGCCATTGGATAAACTGGACTAAGTTGAAAGCTCTTTGTCCTGAAAAGCTATTGGTGTGTTCCTTTCTCTGGGTGGTTTTTTCGACTGTCCTGTCAGTAATATTACACAGGCAGGTATTTCAGCAAAAAAACACCTTCACTGTGTACTGTGTCTTCAACAATGCTTTATTTAGATATATATATATATGAGGACATACAGTAGCCACACGCAAAATGCCACAAAATATACAGTGAACTTCGGAAACTATTCAGACCCCTTGACTTTTTCCACATTTTGTTACGTTACAGCCTTATTCTAAAATGGATTAAATACATCAGCAATCTACACACAATACCACATAATGACAAAGCCAAAACAGGTTAGACATTTTTGCAAATGTATTAAAAATAAAAACATACCTTATTTACATACGTTTTCAGACCCTTTGCTATGAGACTCGAAGTTGAGCTCAGGTGCATCCTGTTTCCATTGATCATCCTTGATGTTTCTACAACTTTATTGGAGTCCACCTGTGGTAAATTCAATTGATTGGACATGATTTGGAAAGGCACACCTGTTTATATAAGGTCCCACAGTTGACAGTGCATGTCAGAGCAAAAACCAAACCATGAGGTCGAAGGAATTGTCCGTAGAGCTCAGAGACAGGATTGTGTCAAGGCACAGATCTTTGGAAGGGTACAAAAAATTCTGCAGCATTGAAGGTCCCCAAGAACACAATGGCCTCCATCATTCTTAAATGGAAGAAGTTTGGAACCACCAAGACTCTTCCTAGAGCTGGCCGCCCGGCCAACCTGAGCAATCGGGGGAGAAGGGCCTTGGTCAGGGAGGTTACCAAGAACCCGATGGTCACTCTGACAGGGCTCCAGAGTTCCTCTGTGGAGATGGGAGAACCTTCCAGAAGGACAACCCATCTCTGCAGCACTCCACCAATCAGGCCTTTATGGTAGAGTGGCCAGACGGAAGCCACTCTTCAGTAAAAGTCACATGACAGCCCACTTGGAGTTTGCCAAAAGGTACCTAAAGACTCTCAGACCATGAGAAACAAGATTGAACTCTTTGGCCTGAATGCCAAGCTTCACGTCTGGAGGAAACCTGCCACCATCCCTACGGTGAAGCATGGTGGTGGCAGCATCATGCTGTGGGGATGTTTTTCAGTGGCAGGGACTGGGAGACTAGTCAGGATCGAGGGAAAGATGAACGGAGCAAAGTACAGAGAGATCCTTGATGAAAACCTGCTCCAGAGCGCTCAGGACCTCTGCCTGGGGCGACGATTCGCCTTCCAACAGGGCAATGACCCTAAGCACACAGCCAAGACAATGCAGGAGTGGCTTCGGGACAAGCCTCTGAATGTCCTTGAGTGGCCCAGCCAGAGACCGGACTTGAACCCGATCTAACATCTCTGGAGAGACCTGAAAACAGCTGTGCAGCAACGCTCCCCATCCAACCTGACAGAGCTTGAGAGGATCTGCAGAGAATGTGAGAAACTCACCAAATACAGGTGTGCCAAGCTTGTAGCGTCATACCCAAGAAGACTCAATGCTGTAATCGCTGCCAAAGGTGCTTCAACAAAGTACTGAGTAAAGGGTCTGAATACTTATGTAGATGTGATATTCCAGTTTTTTATTTTTATAAATTAGCAAAAATGTCTAAAAACCTGTTTTTGATTTGTCATTATGGGGTATTGCATGTAGATTGTTGAGGGTGGAAAAAACAATTTAATCAATTTTAGAATTGTACCTTTAACAGATGTTAACATTTTCTTAATGTTCTTGGTTGTAGCTTAAGAAAATGTACAAAATAAATTAAGGAAGTGTGCTAGTGTTTAGGAGGCACCCAATCAAGTCAGTGTTTTACCCTTACTGAAATTGTTCACTGGTTTATTAAATCAAGATATACACTTTATATTCCATAAAAAGTACATCGTCTACCAGTTTTCCCGAATCAAAATCTTCATTTGTCTGTTCTCGATCATCTACTTTTCAACATGTTACATCACTTTGCGCAGATATAAACTTTGAGCACTGATCTATTATTGAGTTATAGTAAATTATTAAGGTCAAAGGAATCCATATAAGAAATAAGACTGGTTATGTAAGCCAGGATAACAATGACTTGAGTTGGAAACTGACCCTAGAGAAGTCAAAGGACTGGAAGAATTACATCACTACCACACAAAGGGTTGTCTCCAGATTTAGCAAACAACCAATAAATGAAGTTGTCAATTTGAATGAGGTTCTCATCTCAACGCACAAAACCAATCGCAAAACTTTCAAATATATTTTTTCAAGTAAAACAAATCCAAACTACTTTCCAAAGGTAATTCTTCAGATAAATTCCAAAACGAGCTAGAAGCACTGCAATCACTTATTTTCCTCTTATTACATCAGCAGGAATTAGGAAAGTGATAACAAGGAAACATGATGGACCAAAGGGCAAAACTCACGAGACAAACCCTGAAAGGAGGCTTGAATTTCAGTGTCTGATATGGTAATAGTGAACACATGGCATTGCCCTGTGAACAGACAGACTGGGCACTGCACTGAGTCAGCTGAAGACACTTGAAGGTCCTTGTTGAAACAGAGGCCCAGTTCAAACCACAATGACGAGTTAAGAAACGTCCTGATTTTGACAAGGAATTTAAACGGCAACATTTATCAAAAGTAATTTAAAAAACTGTAACAGAAACCTCACCATAGTTCTGATGTAACCTGTTTTCTGGTTTCATGAGGTAACTACAATGTATTGTACTCATTTCAGACAGAACACAAAATCTGTCACCTTTTTACATTGAGTGTGGTAACTGTCCATATAAGATCAAGGTCCCAGAGAAGTTGGAGAAACTACTTTCCAGAGTAGTAAACAGGAGAGGGGTTGGAGGTTTACATTTGGTTGAGAACACATAATTGCAGAACACTCGTAAATTGCACAGTAATATCATAGATAAGTCAACAGGTTTATGTTTTTGTATGGAGTTATTTGAAAATAAGGAAAAGGTCTAGAAAATAAAGCTCTGCTACTTTTTACATGCATTTAGTGTATTTCTATTTGCAATATGGCAAATAGAAATCAAAACTGGATAGTGTTCAGAGATGGGAGGGGTTGAGGGTCGCTGAAGGATGAGATTAAAAACAAACATAAGATAACTATTGTAAAATACACTGTCCGAAAAATGGATATAGTATGTTTAAGCTGGAAGTAGAAGCCCTAAGTGTTGTTGTCCATTAGTTTACTCCAATTAGGGGATGCAGACAATAACATTGATGGAAGCTACAATCTATCTGCAATGTTAAAGCTGATCTACCCCATAATAAAATTACAATTAAAAGTCCAATAAAAACAATAAGCAGGGGTCAGTCATACAATTCCACAGTATCTACATGGCAACATCATTCACTCTCTTCCAGACTCCATCTTCTGATCCATCTATCCATTGTAATTGATTCATTTGTTTCGCCCACGCCACAAATATATCAATAGTCTACTGGTCTTCCAGCAACGCACTTGAAAGAGAAGAGAAAAAGTAGATTATTTACCAGGAAAGGAAGCGGGGGAGTTAACATAAGGTGATGAGGGGAGGTTAACATTTCATTATCACATTATTAATCAATTCTACCCATCAAACTTGTGTTATATAGGAGGTATTGTGTTATAAAGGAGCGAAACACAGAAGGTCATGTCTCACTGGTTATTTTGTATTTGAACATTTTGTAGTGTATTCAACGTGATGTCATAGTTTCATTTTCTTCATCTGTCTCACTGAGGAGCTCAAATTCACTGCATATCACTGTCTCTCATTGTTTGGTATGCAGCTAATGTGAGTAGCGCAACAGTGGATATTCACAATTGATTTATGACCACAAACAAAGGATGTTGCTACTTTGTGACCTGACCAAAATGAAGTGACTAGCTGATGCAATCTGTGTGCAACGGCCAGCCAGCGGTTGTCTGTGTTTGTCTGTGTCTTACAGCTCTCCGAATTTGGCTGCGTAGCGGGCCACAACATTCTTGCTGCGGGCAAAGTCCTTCCGTAGCTCGCCCACTTCCTGTCGTAGCGCCGTGTTCTCACGCTCCAGGAACGCTGCCCGCACCGTGATTTGGTTCTCCTTGAGTCGCCGCGCGTCCCGGGAACGCTTAGCCGCCACGTTGTTCTTCGTCCTCCTCTGCCAGTACTTCTCATCCTTGTGAGGAGGAGAGAGGGGGAAAGAGAAAGAGCAGAGAGAGAACAAGGTGGTTTTTGAAAGCGACCTTGATGAGAGCATGCTTTCAATTCAATGTCGCTGCTCAGTTATTGAAAGCCTCGTTAAAAAGCAAAACCTAGTTTTCCCTCACTGGTGATAATTCATTTAAAGAGCCCTTCTGAATGACTGAATGCTCTGACAGTGGTCACCAACCTTTGAGTCAGGATCACTTTCACAGTCAAAAAGCAAGCAGAGATCTACTGCTCAGATTATTATTCTTTTTTAACATGACTTAAACAAATGTAACATTAACCTAATAAAAACCGTTCTGTAGGGAATGAGGTACATTATTATCACAGCATATTGGCTATTTGCCTGGCCTGACAATATTGTTCTTATCAGACCATATTATATACTGAACAACAATATAAACACAACTTGTAAAGTGTTAGTCCAATGTTTCATGAGCTGAAATTAAAAGCTCACAGAAATTTTCCATACGCACAAAAAGCTTATTTCACAGAAATTTTCCATACGCACAAAAAGCTTATTTCTCGCCACTTTTGTGCACACATTTGTTTACATCCCTGTTAGTGAGCATTTCTCCTTTGCCAAGATAATCCATCCACCTGACAGGTGTGGCATATCAAGAAGCTGATTAAACAGCATGATCGTTACACAGGTGCACCTTGTGCTGGGGACAATAAAAGGCCACTATAAAATGTGCAGTTTTGTCACACAACACAATGCCACAGATGTCTCAAGTTTTGAGGGTGCGTGCAATTGTCATGCTGACTGCAGGAATGTCCACCAGAGCTGTTGCCAGATAATAGAATGTTAGTTTCTCTACCATAAGGTGCCTCCAATGTCATTTTAGAGAATTTGGCAGTACGTCCAACCGGCCTCACAACTGCAGACCACGTATAACCATACCAGCCCAGGACCTCCACATCCGGCTTCTTCGTGTGAGACCACCCACCCGGACAGCTGATGAAACGGAGGAGTATTTCTGTCTATAATAAAGCCCTTTTGTGGGGAAAAACTCATTCTGATTGGCTGGGCCATCCATGGCTGCGCCCCTGCCCAGTCATGTGAAATCCATAGATTAGGGTCTAATGAATTTATTTCAATTGACTGATTTCCTTATATGAACTGTAACTCAGTAAAATCGTTAATTGTTGCATGTTGCGTTTATATTTCTGTTCAGTATATTTCAACACTTGAGCTTTGATAATAAAATAGATCAGTTTGTGTAGCACTTAAATTGAAATAATTTGTACCTGCATCTGATGGTCATGGTGCTTTCAAGACAACTGGGAACAAAAAAATAAAAAAAGGTTAAATCATGAAGTCAGTGATCTTCAGGTCGGAGTGCTAGAAAGATGCCAGACTTGGAATTCAGAGTTGGATGACCGTTCAAAAATATTTTTCCCAGTCGGATCTAGTTTTTGTCAGAGTTCCCAGTTGTCTTGAACGCACTGAAGTCAGAAATGTCCAAGTTCTGAGTTTCCAGTTGTTTTAAACACGGCATTAGTCTCAGCGGAGGGAGGGAGAGAGCAGCAGAGGGTCCGCCTCTCACGGTCCCTCTCTCCCTTCCTTTCTTCCAGTGAGACTGACCAGAGAGAGGGGACACAGTCTTCCACCTGATGGCGAAACTCGAGTCGCACCGCATCAGCATCTGCCTCATGCACAAATTCACATTGTTCCTATGACCAGAGAAAGTGAAATATTTCTCAATATTAAAATAGACACGACGAGCTGCTAATAATACTAAAAACGCAGGGATATCGATTCACTTGGCTACTGATTCATAGCAGCTGGAGCGAATGGTAGTACGAAGAAGCGTGTTTTATAGTGTTGAATAAAAACAGTGTTGACAGTGCTGAATAAAAACTTAAACATGAACTCGCTCATAAAAACAGCAGCTCTTTTATGTATTCTTTGACTGTCTCTCTCTGGTCAAGTCTCATGTAGGCTAGTATCAAACTTTGCTGGAAGCTGTAGGCACGATGACACTCGATTTAGCTACAGATCTCCCAACAGCGAACATTTTGTTAATGGAGCAAGCCTTTATCTTTGGCTTTTCTACAGAAATGTTTGGTGATCGACTAGGAATGCCTTGAAGATCGACCAGTCGCGGTTGGTGACCACTGCTCTATGAACTATCTGGTGGTACTGTAATCCACAATTAAATAACATTTTTTTAAACATACAATTTCTCTTCTTGGAATTAGAATAAACATACACCCACCCACCCACCTACCCACACACCCACCTACCTACCCACCCACCCACCCACCTACCCACACACCCACCTACCCACACACCCACCTACCTACCCACCCACCCACCTACCTACCTACCCACCCACACACCCACCTACCCACACACACACCCACCTACCTACCCACACACCCACCTACCTACCACACCCTTATCATGCTTTCTGACCTCCATGTCTCTGACTTACCTTAGAATCCTCAGGTACATACACCTTCTTGGCCTTCTTGATCATGGGCTGTGGTTTGAGTTCCTCCTCTGAGAACTTGTGTTTGCGTGGGTTGAACAGCTCTCCTCCAGGAACGCTGGACAGGACCAGGTCTGTAGGGTCTGGGTCAAAGTTCACGTTCACCTCAATCTCCTCCGGGTCGATGGTTTCAGGGGTCAGCCTGTCCTTGTCTGTCACCACCTCTATGGGGGAGATACAGGTGACCAAGCATTAGGTTAAGGGTTCAAGTATCCCGTTTGGGTTTGTTGGGTTCTAACTTGAAATATACTTATTCCTGTCACTGTATAAGAACATATGGATTACGTTACATGTATGATAACTGTTTATGTTCTATGTCAATGAAGGGTGAATAAGGAATGTGTATTGAAAATTACTGTGCGTGGCGAAGGGCAACAGTTAATCTCTGATAAGGCAGGCCAGCTGCGGAACTAGGGTCAAGTCAACAGATGAAACGAGAAGAAACCACTGGAAGGGGGGCCAGAGGGGCCCACCACAACGACCCTCCTACTACAGTCCTATGTCACACACACATACACTTCCACGAAGGTTCTAGCATCAGGCAGGGCCATGACTACACCAGTAAGAGGAACCAATTTAGTTCCTGCCTAGCAACAGAGATGTACTGGCTGTCTAGATGTGTGTATGGAGTTTACCCCGCCTAGTAGGTTATAAATATATGTGCTTGTATCGTCATATCCTGTCTTTGCAGCTATATGACCCAATGGGATGAAATTGGCTTGAGCTTTTTCTAGTCGTCCTTTTGAGTTATTACAATTTTTTCAGAACCTTACAGGTAGATGGGCAAAAGCTACAATCAGTTTTAAGGGTAAATAAATGCTCCCAATGTAAATGGAATATTCTCTTCTGTGAGACTGCAAGTAATTTAATTCCTGTTCCAGAACCATACATTTGGCTCTACCCACCTTAAATCCAGGCTTCTACATTTGATAAGATGACCTCATGGAGCACAGCCCACGTCTGTTGGTCAGCTCTAGTAAACACCTCTGTTGTCTTGACCACTCAGCATAGCTAGGATCTATTTTTACCACCATTTACAGAAGCACACACAATGGTGCATACAGCCTTGAATGACATTCAAATAAACCAGTAAGTTTCCCTGTACATGTGCGCCCTTGGTGCTCAGACATGTCTGACTGTCTATGGCAGAACCAAGAACAAATTACTTGATTTACTTTGATCTTAAATGCATTTGAGTCACGCTTTGTATTATTTACGCATTATACCATGTAACTACTAGGGTAAGTATCTATGTAATAACACTAACAGACCATTAAGACATAAGGCTCTAATGATTTCACAGGTGTATCCTACCGGTGTTGGCTGTGATATCAGCACTGTTGAGGGTGATGGTGACCACCTCCTCCTCACACTGGTCTAGTTCCAGGACGGGCAGCAGGGAGATGGGGGCTGTCGTGGTGCTGGTTGGCTTCTCTGTCTTCTTCTCTGCAATTTCCATGTTGAGAGCATCGTCCAGGGACGAGGATGAGGTGGGGATGCCGTTCTCCATGAGGAACTCCTCCAGGTCCATGTACTCCAGGTGGAAGGTCTCCCCGTCGTACGGGATGGTCTTGTCCCAGATGGCTGGGGTCAGGGCGGCCGACGGACCCAACCCGCTCCCTCTTTCAAGGTCCACATTGTCCCCCGTAAACAGCTTATCCTTGTCATTGTCTGTGGCAGCAAAACAGAAGAGCCTTACTTAATGTAATGGGTTATGGCAGGCAGGATAAAACAAGTCAAATCAAATGTTATTGGTCACATACACATATTTAGCAGATGTTATTGCGGGTGTAGCGAAATGCTTGTGTTCCTAGCTCCAACAGTGCAGTAGTATCTAACAATTCACAACAATAAACAAATCTAAAAGTCTAAAAGTAAAAGAGATAAGACGGGCATTGGAAAAGGGTTTATTTGACATGGTCATTCAGTAAATGGTTTTATCCTGAGCCATTTACACTCAGGACATATTTCATCTAAGTGGTCCATGTGAGAACCAAACCCACAACTCTGATCATGCAAGAACCATATTTCAACCAATGGAAGAGATATGATGAAATATAAGGCCTACATCACTATTTGGTGGAAAGCGGACCTTGACACTAGTCAGACGAATACGTGACCTAGCCTACTAATTTATGCAGTGTTCAAAACTGGGAACTCTTAAATAGCCTACTTCAATGCGTTCAAGACAACTGGGAACTAGGAAAGAAACGAGCTACGACTGGGAAAATCGTTTTGAATGGTCATCCAACTCAGAATTCGAAGTAGGTATGTTTCAATTAACTTGTCCATTGATTTTTTGTGACATTTATAAAGTTCGCATAGAAAATATATGCGAAAATTGCCTGCTAGTGTGCGTTTCCATGTAACTCGTGTGGATGAAAAAGACTGGACGTTTTCGCAAAAACCTACAGCGTCAAATAAAAATGTAGTGGTTGAAGTGTTTCCATTACCCATTTAGGCAAATACATTGGCGACAGCATGTATGCCCTCCCACCTATCTGTTTCATGTCTCAGGTAGCCCGCGAAAGTCAGCATGGATAGAATGCAATTACTGACTAATATTTGCCAACCTATCGCCACCGTCTATGCCACACTCCTATAGATCTGAAATAATTGGATGGTGAAACTTGACAGCCAACCAGGAAAGCAAGGCGAAGCAATTCAGGCATTCTTGAATGATAGGACGGACAATCGTTGTCCTTCAAAGAAAATGTTGTATAGTTGAAAAATATTGATTTTGCAAGACTTAGGCATTTATAATTTATTGTAGAGTGGAACTTTATAGTTACACCGTGACATCACGTACCTTGAAAATGATTCGTCAATCATAATTTATTCGAAAAATACTGTTTCCATCGTCATTTGTCGCAATAAAGAAAGTTCGACAGAAGAAAGATCCACCCCTGTCGAACGAAAAAAATATGTATATCTTTAGAAAATGTATCCTATACCTGCCGTTTCCATTACACGTCGCATTTTGCGACATTGCTTTTTTCGAATACAGCTGGGTCAATGGATACCTGCCTAGTTAGTGTGGTGATGAGGTGGAGAGTAGAAGGGAGTGGGGGAGGGGGGAGAGAGGAATTTACTGTCAACTGTCAACTGTGTATGTGCTGTCTGAGAACCAAAGGACTGAAGTGCAGCTACCCAATTTTTGTTTAAATTCAGATGAAGGGATATCTGAATGCTTGGTTGATCATAACACTATAGAAACAAACAGACAGGATGTGATTTTGTGTAGGCCTATCAATTTTAGGCTACTACATTGCATAAAATGTATTCGCATTCGGCTTTACCCGGCACAATTCGGCCGCTTCACAGTTTGTTGCCTAGAACTAACAGTGCGTGTAACCCCCACACAGAAGCATCTAGACTTACCATCGTCGCCCTCGAGTAAATTCGGTGGGGGCATTTCCATTATTTTCTTCAATACCACGGGAAACGCACCCGGTGACCCCTTGAAGTTTTCCATCGTGGTGGCGATCGGCTCTACAGACATTTCTGCCGGTAATTACGCAACAACTTAATTTAAAGATATGCTACTTCAACAATAAAGCCTAGACTACTGTAACATAATCTCCTATCCCTTCAGAGATAGTGAAACTAAGATTAGACTAAATGTTTACAATGTTACAGCATACGACTCGACATTAGTTTACCTCTTCAGAGTTTGACCGATTCTCCAAATAAAGCAACAAAAAACGTTTTCTTAGTCAAGAGAAATCGCACCTCTCGAATAGAAAGTATAAAACAGTCCATTCTTTGAGCGACGTAGGCAAGGCGTAACACCCCATTGGTTGACCAAATTATATATCGTTGTAACCCTGCATAAATTAGAGGAACATTTGGTGGGAGGGGGAGCAGCCCCAATGATATCTCCATACTGTTAGACTTTTGCTGGCTTCATATGCTCGTGGAAACTGGGAAGTCGTAATGCCGCGTTCAAAACAACTGGGAACTCCGCAGGCGGTGTCAGAGGAAGGCCCTAAAAATTGTCAAAGACTCCAGCCACCCAAGTCATAGAATTCTCTCTGCTACCACAATGCAAGCGGTACCGATGCACCAAATCTGGAGCCAACAGGACCCCGAACAGCTTCTAACCCCAAACTATAAGACTGCTAAATAGTTAGTTAAATAGTTAACCAATAGCTACCCGGAATATCTGCATTGACCCTTTTTGACTCATCATATACGCTGCTGTTACTGTTTATTATCTATTCCGTTGCCTAGTCACTTTATCCCTACCTATATGTAAGTGGGACACCTGGCAAAGTGGGACACTTAAGCTTTGTAATGGATATCTTTAAATATGTACAATAACATAACCAACCATCAATGCCTGTGTGTTAGTGAGTACCTGTACACAGCCCATCTGAAATTAGCCCACCCAACTACCTCATCCCTATATTGTTATTTATTTTGCTCATTTGCACCCCAGTATCTCTATTTGCACATAATCTCTTGCACATCTATCATTCCAGTGTTAATACTAATTGTAATTATTTTGCACTATAGCCTATTTATTGCCTTACCTCCATAACTTGCTACATTTGCACACACTGTATATATATTTTCTGTTGTATTTTTTGACTTTATGTTTTGTTTTACCCCATATGTAACTCTGTGTTGTTGTTTTTAAAATCGCACTGCTTCGCTTTAAACTTCGCCAGGTCGCAGTTGTAAATGAGAACTTGTTCTCAACTGGCTTACCTGGTTAAATAAAGGTTAAATAAAAAAAGTGAGGGAGTATGTGATTATATATTTTTTTTTAAGGGTTCAATGGTATGACGTCATCATTGTGGGCGTGGCATCCCGTGTAATGACACGTCTCTAGATCCAGCCATAATGGTAAGTAAAATTACATGGTCCTGAGGTAAATAATGTTAAGGTTATAAAAACGTAGAAAGGATATTCAGTGTCTCATTACAACATATTTTGTAATGGGGTGTAGTTGTAAAACAAAATTACTGTAAATGTTGTTTTTTTCACTACTCTCACCTTTTTTTAAATAGTGACATTTTGACAGTGTCCCAGTATGCCAATTGCCTACTGTCAAACTGGGTCACCCTATTACTGTCCAACTGGGACACTCCTCTAGGCCATTTTAATGCAGAACAAATATTTTGGGGGATTAATTAATACATGTTTTCTTAACAGAAATCAATTTTCTAAATAGGATCAAAATGTTCAACTTCATTTTCCTCAAATCTGCTAGAAAAGGCTAGCATAGCTGCATTTTACTTAAAAAGATATTACCTCACCAGCATTAAACATCCTAGCTAGCTATATTCATAAACATACAGGTATATGATGATTAAAAAAACGTTCATTTTACAGTATTTGACTCTGGTGACAATAAAACAGTCATTGAAATTGTTGAGAGTTAAGGTCTTTCTGGTTTCATTCTACAACATGTCCATTAGTGTAGTGTTGAGAATGTTGAGCTGATAGGCCTAGATGAAGTTAAAAAATATATATTTATAGGCTATACAATTACATATAGGCTACATCATATAATTATAATCAAGTATGATGATAATAATAATAAATGATCATTCTTAATGTTCCACAAAAATAATTTTCATTTAATTTGTATGAATAATTGAAGTTTATCATTAAAATATCGAAATTACTCCTATACGCTCTAATTTATCCTTCTTTACAATAAATAATTAAGTGTCCCACTTAGCCAATCAAGGTCTCCCAATTTGCCAGTATCAACTTATAAAATGTGGTCTCAGCACAATTTGTGTTTGATGAAGAGTCATCCATCCTGTGTTTAATATATATTTTTTTTTTTCTAGTAGAGTTCTTAAGCTATTTAGAATGGTATCATGTTGGGGGTTAACATTTACATTACATTTACGTCATTTAGCAGACGCTCTTATCCAGAGCGACTTACAGTTAGTGAGTAAGACATTGGGATGATTCTGTAAGGTGTTCCGGAAAACACATTTTCAGAAAGTGTCCCACTTTACCAATACTCACCCTGCATATCTACACTACCATTCAAAAGTTTGGGGTCACTTAGACATTACCTTGTTTTCGAAAAGAAAATCATTTTTTTTGTCCATTAAAATGACATCAAATGGATCAGAAATACATTGTAGATATTGTTAATGTTGTAAATGGCTATTGTAGCTGGAAATGGCTGATTTTTTATGGAATATCTACATAGGCGTACAGAGGTCCATTACCAGCAACCATCAGTCCTGTGTTCCAATGGCACGTTGTGTTTGCTAATCCAAGTTTATCATTTAAAAAGACTAATTGATCATTAGAAAACCCTTTTGCAATTATGTTTGCACAGCTGAAAACTTGTGCTGATTAAAGAAGCAATAAAACTGGCCATTCTTGAGACTAGTTGAGTATCTGGAGCATCAGCAATTGTGGGTTCGATTACAGGCTCAAAATGGCCAGAAACAAATAACTTTCTTCTGAAACTCGTCAGTCTATTCTTGTTCTGAGAAATGAAGGCTATTCCATGCGAGAAATTGCCAAGAAACTGAAGATCTCGTACAACGCTGTGTACTACTCCCTTCACAGAACTGGCTCTAACCAGAATAGAAAGAGGAGTGGGAGGCCCCGGTGCACAACTGAGCAAGAGGACAAATACATCAGAGTGTCTAGTTTGAGAAACAGACGCCTCACAGGTCCTCAACTCGCAGCTTCATTAAATAGTACCTGCAAAACACCAGTCTCAATGTCAACAGTGAAGAGGCGACTCCAGGATGCTGACCTTCTAGGCAGAGTTGCAAAGAAAAAGCCATATCTCAGACCGGCCAATAAAAATAAAATATTAAGATGGGCAAAAGAACACAGACACTGGACAGAGGAAGATTGGAAAAAAGTGTTATGGACAGATGAATCGAAGTTTGAGGTGTTCGGATCACAAAGAAGAACATTTGTGAGACGCAGACCAAATGAAAAGATGCTGGAGGAGTGCTTGATGCCATCTGTCAAGCATGGTGGAGGCAATGTGATGTTCTGGGGGTGCTTTGGTGGTGGTAAAGTGGGAAATTTGTCCAGGGGAAAAGGGATCTTGAAGAAGGAAGGCTATCACTCCATTTTGCAACGCCATGCCATACCCTGTGGACAGCGCTTGATTGGAGCCAATTTCCTCCTACAACAGGACAATGACCCAAAGCACAGCTCCAAACTATGCAATAACTTTTTTTTTTTTTTTTTTTAAACAATTTGGGGGTAGATCAGCTTAATATTGCAGATAGATTGTAACTTCTATCAATGTAATTGTCTGCATCACTTCCAATCCCCCATGTTTTTTATATATATACTCCCCTTTATTACTTTTCAACCCCGCCATCCTTTCCCTACTTGGGGTAAATTAGTGAACAACAATGCCCAGGCCTCTACTTCCAGCCTATACTTACTATCTACACCTTATGGACACAGTCAATTTTACAATAATGTAAATGTTTTTTTTGTTTTTGCTCCTGAACTTCTTCTACTCTCAACCTCTCCGATCATTTTCATGATGTCCATCCGGTTTGCTTCTATATGCCATATCTTTCTAACTGTGCTCTTTCCCAAAAGCTCCCAACTATATACTTATTATGGACACAGTATGCTTACATTATTAGTTATCTTGTTATTATTTGTTGTTATTTGTTATTAGTCCCATCCTTCAACTCCATTCAATACCTCCCATCTATCTCTTAACACCATCCATATAGGATTTCTATTTGCCATATATATTTCAACCGTACTGTGATGTTTTACAAAAGTTCTGAACCTTTCTATTCTCATTGCTTCTACAGATTGTGAATTAAATATAAACATTTTTGCTAAAAGTATTATATTATTGATCGATTGACTATGACTTTTCAGATCACCCAGTAATGCTATCTGCAAGGTTAGCTCCAGGTAAATATTGCAATCCTTTAGCCATTCCTGGACCTGTGTCCAAAAACAAGCTACAAATGGACAGAACCAAAACAAATGATCTAATGATTCTGTCTCTTCACAGCAAAATCTGCAGAGCTGGGAAGATTGTATCCCCCATATAAATAACATTCATTCTTGCAACGCCATGCCATACCCTGTGGACGGCGCTTGATTGGAGCCAATTTCCTCCTACAACAGGACAATGACCCAAAGCACAGCTCCAAACTATGCAATAACTATTTAGAGAAGAAGCAGTCAGCTGGTATTCTGTCTATAATGGAGTGGCCAGCAACAGTCACCGATCTCAACCCTATTGAGCTTTTGTGGGAGCAGCTTGACCATATGGTACATATGGTACATACAGTGGGGAAAAAAAAGTATTTAGTCAGCCACCAATTGTGCAAGTTCTCCCCACTTAAAAAGATGAGTGAGACCTGTAATTTTCATCATAGGTACACGTCAACTCAAAAAATTTAGGCCCTTATTACCTTTTCCCCTAAAACCAAATAAAAAAACCCAAGAAATATAAAACTATTTAAAAAAATCCTTTATTTTTTTAAGGGAGTCCAAATTCAATCTTAACCCTTATTTTTTCCCTTACAATTACTAGGTCATCCCCGGGGGGGAAAAATTTGGGCCCCAAAAATTTTAATTTCTCCCATTTGGGGCCTTTTTTTTAAATAATTTTTTAAAGGGAAAGGGGCCAACCATTTTAGCCAGGGGTTATTTAATTAAAAACCCCTTTAAAAACCCCCAAAAAGACTTTTTTGAGTAAATGTGAAAAAGGTGGAAAAAAAACCCAAAAAATTTCCCACGTAAATTTTCCCCCTCAATCGACCGACAAAAATTTTCCTTAA